CCTTGGTTTTAGGAGAGCATGAGTGTCCTCCAAATAGATGTGAATAGATTCCTGTACTGATAATTCCCTTATTTGGCCATTAGACAACTCACTCATCTCATCCACTGTCAGATACAGTAAAGGTCTGCTGTACTGTACAGTGTAGAGACCATCAGTATCAATGCTAAATGCATCAGTGATTTGGACTGATGCAGAAATGCCTTCACCTGCCTTCAAGAGAACAAACTCATCTTTTGTAGGAGGAAGACGATGAGCAAATATTCCATCATATTCGATAGGACTACCAGCAACAGAGACAGTGAGAAATTGAGAGAAAAGTCCTTCAAGAGGTGTACCACGTTTCAAGAGATAAAGATCCTCGTTTGCATTGTTGGTAAACTCGAAAGTGCAAGCAACTGCAGAAAGAGCTTTATTACAAGCCATGTCAAGAGAGATAGGCCAGTCATTAGCACTGCATGTACAAGAGAAAAGTAACATTGATTTGATACATACATATAGCTACCATACCTCAGAGCACTGGTCAGGTAAGTAATAACTAGACATGTACAGAGGAGAGTCTTCATGTTTCTCAGCTTTCCTTAGCCTTCTTCTTATTCTTCTTTTTTCTTCCTTTGTAGATTTCTAGAAATGTGATTTGATCATCTACTTTTATAGAATACCTAGTTTGTAAAAAATTTGATGATATTGTTACTAAAATTTGACCAATAAACAAAGCCCTCATTGTCAATATTAGAAGTAAAGCAAGTATAATTTTGATGCAACTGAAGCTGTGAAAGTGAACGAAATACTCACATTTGGCATCATGTACTTTGGCTGCTAACAAACTGAATGAATAGATCTACTATCTACTAGTAGTAATCACACGACTGCATCCGGTACACTCAGCCTTGCACTTGTCTGTCAGTAGACTATGGTGTTGTAAATTGTACTCAAGTTTTTTTTGATAAACAGCAACTAGATCTATTACAAATGACAACAAAATGATTGAGATCTATAATTACAGCATCTTACCCAATTAAGAAAAACTGTGAATAACCTTTTATAGGAATGTGGGATAAGGATGAAACTTTCACAGATTAACTTAGCTGCCCAATGCCATCATCACAGGATCTCAGGTCTTGGGTCTCTCAGCCCTTGAGAACCCTGAGAATTGGGACTGATGCAGTAATTTGATTTTTGAAATTAATTATTTAAGCCAGAATAAGTGATTGCACAGATCAATTGGATCATGCATTTTAAGCAAATTTTGTTGCATCAAGGTTTAATTAAATGTGCATTCTATGTTTAAAAGAACATGTCTATTTATAATAATAATAATAATAATAATAATTTGTTTTTCTGTTGTCTCCTCTGGGATCTCCCTCTTTCCCCTATTTTCTTGTTATAGTCATTGTTTTTGTACATGTTTATTATTTTTCATAATAATAATAATAATAATAATAATAATAATAATAATAATAATAATAATAATAATAATAATAATAATAATAATAATAATAATAATAATAATAATAATAATACTGAATAGACAAGTTTCAATATAGAGCGGTTGCATTGACGTCACTTTTTGACGTCATAATTACTTCCGTATGGCAAAAATTAATGAGCCTCATTCGTTTACAGCAGCAAAGTTGCTTCTTCTATAACTTCTTTTACACAGCACAAGGCAGAAAAGGAGTACAATTCTAGCGGTAGTAAGCAGAAAAGTAGCGATAGCAATAATTACAGGAGTAACATGGCAATGCTGTGTTCACTTTGGCCGCTTCACTGATTCTCTATCCGAGGACTTTTTACTTCCTTTGCATCCCTGAGTCCAGGAAAATGAAAGAGCAGCATGAATTAGCCATGCTCATAGTTAAGGAAGCCTGCCAGAAGAGTTTATAGCGCTGTACAAATGAATGGCAAAGTAGCCATTTTGCCATGCGGAAGTAATTATGACGCATGCGGTGACGTCATATGAAACCGCTCTATTATGCATACTCTTGATTTTATTATGCAATGAGAACCCGATGTGAAAGTTTATTTAAATTTCATGACGTCATGTCATTTCCGGTAATATTTTGCTTATTAATCATTCCCATTTTCACACCTCATACTAGTTGCATAACAGGTACACAAAATGGAGGGAGAGAAGAGCTATTTGGAAGACAGCACAGGCTCAGAGGAGGCTTGTGGAGTTAGAACCACCAGGGAACCTCTTTCTGTGGAGTCCAGAAAGAATCGCGGGCGACAGTTGGACTATCTACTGGAAAGGACCGGGTTTGGAACGTATCATGTGTTTTTGTTAGTTGGTGAGTCGTTACAAAAAACAAAAAATAGTACATGTATAATTATTATGATGCTAATACCATTGTACACTTTAAGGGTGAGCATTAATTGGAGTGTATTTGTTTACGTGCCTTAGACCATGTTTATTGTTTATAAATCTCTTATCTTCTTTTTTGTTTCCTTCTTTTCAAATCCCCCCCTCTCTCTCTCTCTTCCTCCTCCTATCTGCTCAGTTTGTGGTGTTGCACTAGCTTCAGACTCGGTCGAAGTATCCAGTGTCTCTTTTGTTACTCCAGTCCTTGACAATAATAATAATGATACTGATAGAGGCGGTGTTCATCCAACTAAATTTCAGTCCGGTGCCCTCGACTCCATCATATTTCTTGGAATGATGGTACAACATTTGTAGCACTATACATGATTGTACAGTAATTATTTTGTAGTGTTAAAATTGTAATACAATTTTAATGTTGGTTCCAAACCACGAGAGAGTAAAAACCCACAGTCAGGTGGCAGATAAGATAGGGTTTAGCTATAGTACTATAGACTAGCCTCTTAACAATGGATACTTTTAGATAAGAATGTTTGTTATACAGAGGTGTCCTTTATGTGGAGGTTATTTTATACGCTAAGGAATGTAATCGGTACACTAGGTGCTGTCTGTTAAATGGAGGTGTACGCTATAGAGAGTGTAAGCTGCACTGTATTAACTGGTTTATGTTTAAGTTGAGCAGATGCAATGAAGCCTATGTGTCAATAAAGTAATAGAGAGACCTTAAGTATCAAGTACTTCATAGGTCCACCCAGACTCACCACAAGCCTCCATCATCGTTTACTCAGTGCCTCTTTTCAATGCTTTTTTGGCCTTTTGCACACTCCAGACTGACCACAAGGTTTAAATCATTGTTATTACTGCTGGAAGAAGAATTCAGAATAATGATAATGAGCTCACCTTCTTGTGTGTACATAACATGTGTAATTTTAATATTTCATGATTGTATTGTATATCAATTGATGGTGACGCATAAGATAGAACTTCTCTGATTCTCTGATTCTCTCTCTCTCTCTCTCTCTCTCTCTCTCTCTCCCTCCCTCCCTCTTCCCTCTATAGTTTGGTGGTTATTTTTGGGGGAGTCTTGCTGACATTGTTGGTCGTCGGAGTTGTTTAGTATCTTCTCTTATCATTAATGGCCTTTTTGGTCTTGCTTCTTCTCTCTCACCTAATTTCGCTTGGTTCATGGTCTTTCGATTTGGAAGTGGATTTGGGTTAGTTGTGGTTTAAAAGTACATTCCCCAGCCATTATTTTGGCTCAAATTTGTTCAGATTTTTTGTTCCAAGGGACTTTTTGCTTTAATTTTGTAAAGGCATGTACATGTATCAGAATTAGCATTGTTATTTTTTTATAATTTGGCCCATATATTGTTATTGTTTTGGCAAAACACTGGCCCAAAAGCATGCCAATATGAGGGATCAAAAACAATTGAATATATTTCATGTACATGTACATATACAACCTCATAAATGACTTCTATTTTATTTATAATCAAATTTTTATTCACAACTAAAGGCGTGGCAATCAATGATAATGAATAATATGTCTTTTTCCTTTTAGAGTCGGGGGATCTGTTCCAATCGTTTTCTCGTACTTCTCCGAGTTTTTCTCATCAAAATATCGAAACACGCTCATAATTGGACTCGCATCTTTCTGGACAGTGGGGCGCCTATACGCCTCATTTGTTGCCTGGATTGTCATACCACAGACGTTTAGTTTTCATCTCGGGCACATGCTAGTCACCAGTTGGAGGATATTCCTTGCACTGTGTACTCTGCCTTCCTTCCTATCAGCTCTGGCCATTGTGTTTATGGTGGAGAGCCCTGGATTCCTATTTTATGTATGAATAATATTAGTTTTTAGAAATAAGATAATATTGAGCAACTCAGGTTGGCATAGCATGTAGCTTTTAAGGCAACTTTTAAAATTCATAAGAAATCCAAACTTGATTGGAATCAGCTCAAATTTTCTATGCAACATAAGAACATGTATGTGCATCAGAAAAAAATTATAAAAGTGGAGAATTCTCACCTTTTCATTTTTGGCAAAATTTGGCTGATGACCCTGTACTATAGGAGAGGGACTTTGGCCTGGTTTTTGAGCAACTTTAAAAATTCATAAAAAATTGAAATTTGATTGGAATCAGCTCAAACTTTCTACAAAACATAAATACATGTATATGCATTAGAAAAAATTGTAAAAGTGAAGAATTCTCAACTTTTTATTTTTTGGCAAAATTAGGCCGATGACCCTGTACTATAGTACAGGGACTTTCATCCAATTTTGGAGCAACTTTAAAAATTCATAAAAAATTGAAATTTGATTGGAATCAGCTCAAACTTTCTACAAAACATAAATACATGTATATGCATTAGAAAAAATTGTAAAAGTGAAGAATTCTCAACTTTTTATTTTTTGGCAAAATTGGGCTGATGACCCTGTACTATAGTACAGGGACTTTGGCCTGATTTTTGAGCAACTTTAATGCACTATGCCCGTGGGAAACCCTGACTGTGTATGTTTGAAGTAGTCAATGTATGGCATGAGATGTTTTGATGAAGTGTGTGTTAGTTTTTGTATGGCATACACTAATTTGAGCTATGCACATGCACATGTATTGCGTGACCACTGTACATGTACATGCTGTTCTTTGTCATGTCTCTCTCATTATAGAAAGGTAAAGCGCTGAAGGTTAGAAAAGTTTTAAATCGTGTGAGCTCTTGTCAGATCCGCTTCACTACACACAGGCCACGCTCGGAATCGACTGATGGAAGGGTAATAATAATAATAATAATAATAATGTTAATTATTATAATGATGATGATGATAATGATAATAATCATAATGTCAGTATTATTTTATAGTAATAATAGTAATAATAATAATAATAATAATAATAATAAATGATGATGATGATGATGATAATAATCTTCATAATGTCAGTATTAATTTTATAGTAATAATAATAATAATAATAATAGTAATAATAATAATAGTAATAATAATGATGATAATGTATATGTGTACATCAGATTATTATTTTAGTAATTAATAATTATAATTGATTATAATTACCATTAAATGTTTAGTTGTTACAAAAATGATCTTTTATTCTAATAGGAATATGATGAGATAATATCCAGCATCAGTGCTGCTGACAATAGCATCAACAATGCTTTGTCAGTAAATAGAAGGGATATAGGACAAAAAATTAAAGTGGTACGATTTAGAATTTATTTATTAATTTATTTATTATATTTTATTTATTTTAAGGTTTGGTCAGCTACAGTTGAGCTGTTTAAGAGGTCGTATGTGAGACCAACTGTTGTAATGATCATTGTTAACTTCACACTCTCATTCGGGTGAGAGAGAGAGAGGGAGGGAGGGAGGGAGAGAGAGAGAGTGGAGAAAATTGGAAAAAGAAACTTGCTGCACACATATACCGTGTAGTATAGTGCAAAAATTTTTGAGGGCTGTAAGTTTAACAAATTTGCATATTTAATTTTTGCGAATTTATGCCATCTTGTACCGTAATAATAATTTGATTTTCGGGAAAGTAATTTTCACAAATCTTCAAAAAATTGCAAAATTTACAGCCCAAGAATATTTCCGCTATACGGTATTGTCCCTTGGTTATTCTTTATCTCCTGTATGTATTTCTTTCTTTCTCGACAGGTATTATGGTCTTGTGTTGTGGTTTCCTGAATACTTCAAATACATTGAGTGCCATAAGAACGATAATCATAATCACTCCATTGCTGATGTCACTGATTGTGGGTCTAATAGTGACGACAATAAAATATATCTTGACAATCTTTATGTCTCACTAGCTACCATACCAGGTGATAGCTAATGGATATTATGTACTGTGATTGAAATACATGTAAAGTACTGTTATTTATAAAGCAAAAGCAAATTCTTCTTCCTATTATTATTATTTGTTATAAAATATAAGAAAGGTCTAACGAAAAAGAAAAAATAGTACTTGGAAAGCTTGCTATCATTTACAATAAAACACTAAACAAGACAGTCTTAGTTACAAAAAAAACAGTTTAAGCTATCTCATTGGGAGAAGGTTGGGATATACTTACCCCAAGAAATGACATTCCTCTCTAAAGAGAAACAGTTACATTATATTATTATTATTATTGATTATTAATTATTGTTGTTATTATTTATTATTATTAATTAATGTAGGTATTGTATTTGGATTACTTTCCATAAAGTTTCTTGGCTCAAAAGTTTTGCTCGGTACGTCAATAACAATTAGCCTGAGTATTATAGTTATATCTTGTAAATTATGAAATTTTACACATACCTCTTGATCCATAGCCTTGTGCATATTATATGTACATGTACATGCAATATTGTATTTCTAATGATTTATTTTTCTCCTCCTTTTCTTCCCCCTCCCTCTCTCTCTCTCTCTCCCTCTCTCTCCCTTCAGCCATTTCAATGGTAGTATCAGCATTGAGTACATTTGCTATATGGGGTGTCCCTAAAGAAGTTGATTACATTTTATTGCTATCTTGTATATTCACCGGATTCTCTACCATTGGTTGGATTGCACTTGATGTCATTATACCTGAACTGTTCCCTGTGCACCTTCGGTAAGAGGTAGAGAGAGAGGGGGGGAGAGAGAGAGGGGGAGAGAGAGGGGGAGAGAGAGAGGGAGAGAGAGAGAGAGGGAGGGAGGGAGGAAGGAAGAGAGAGAGAGAAGATAAATTTAGAAGAAGTGGAAACAGATTCTTTTGTTTAAGTAATGAGATGAACATGCTACCCACAATGACCTTCATTCTTAACATATGTGAACTTGTGTAGACATGTGTCTGTAATTCATGTACAACTACCAGTACATGTACATGTCTACTCTGTGTGTGTCTCTCTCCCTCCCCCTCTCCCCCCTCTCTTTCCCCCTCTCCCACCCTCTCTCTCTCCCCCTCTCCCCCTCTCCCCCCTCTCTCTCTCCCCCTCTCCCCCCCTCTCTCCCTCCATTATTATTATACAGCTCAACAGCATTTGGTATGCTTTCTGCAATCGGTCGAATCGGTTCAATAATCGGCATATTATTATTCGGGCGTTTGATCACAGTATCTCCATATCTCCCTGTACTGATAGTAGCTGCTTTGTTAATCTTTGGTGGTCTTGCTGTATTTATTATTCCAGAAAAGAGAAAGCTACCTGTATCGCGACTGTGTCACTGTATTCTAACTGTTATTAGGAATTACTGTAAAAGAGGACCACCATTGTCTTCTTACGAGCGTCTAAATGACTGATTTTTTAATGATTTTTTGTTGTTTTAATAATATAATATAATAATAATTTTTATATTATACTATAACAACAGTCTATTTTTGATAATAATTGTATTTTATCTTGTGATTAATGAATCTGGAACACTGGTTAATGATGCGTGGGTGTACCGTCAATTCCGTTGTTTAAAGGAAGGGAAAGCTCCCATTATCCTTCACTCTCTCTCTCTTTCTCTCCACTGCAAGCCTTTTGCTCCTATTTGATACTAGACCGTTAGCGTTGAAGTAATGTCTGAAGAGGCTACAGTCGTTGAAGAGCTGGCCCCGCTGAGCCCGGAGGCCATTGCCGCCAGAGACAAGATACGGGAGATGGTGAAGGAGCTTGAGGAGGATGAGAGGGCTAGGAGAGTCAGCGAGTCCAGCCCCGAGCAGCCACAAGACCAACAGAAGCTAGTGACATTGGACAAGCTGGTCACTGTACAAGAAGATCTCATTCGCTTTATTAACTTGAAGAAAGTAAGATCATCAGTCGTGCATTTTCATTGGCTATGCATGATAATGAAACTATGCCATTACATTTGATAATAATAATTGTAATAATATCTCTTCCAAGTGTTCTGTCTTACATTGAAATTCCTTAAAAAGATCCGACAGTATATATAATAATAAATTAGTTACAAAAATTTTCAGTTATGATTGGGAGTTTTGATACAATCTATTAGCATAAGACAAACAACTCATTTTTATAAAATACTTTATAATCACTCGTGCAGATGACGCCTGCTCACTGGCCCAGAACTACTACCATGCAGCTAATATGGGCTTCAAGTATAAGCTAAGTTGCATGTAACTTGTGAAATAGGAAGGCAGATCTAGTTGCTGTCTTCTCTATGCTTCACAGTGACAGCATGAGGTATATATGCAGTTAAAATTAAACGATTTAGGCTTTCCAGAGAACTATTTGATACTCGGTAACCACTATTATGCTTTCTTTAATAAAAACAATCCATAAATAATTGCTGTTAATTATCGTATTTTAGCAAGAGTGGCTATTAATGATGTAGTGTTGCTGTTAGGGTTTAGTCTGTATTTTCATGCCCCAGTAAGTGGTAAACAGGACTAATATGGAACAGTTATTATAATTACTATCCACTATTTCGTTAATCAAACTGTTAATATAAACTAGAACTATAATAGTATCATTGCCGTCATCATTAATTAAATTATTATTATAATATTATTTTATTTATACTATTATCATCATTTCTCCAGCACATGCATATAAAACGTTGTTTACATTTTGCTATAAACTTGTTCCTTCCTTTTCATTATAATGTTTTGCTTATCAAATGTAACAACATGTAACTCTAGTTTAATAATACAAGGTAGATGCTACATTACTGTACATTAAAAAATCAACATTATTTTTATTAAAATTGATATTTATAGTATTTAATTTTTTACATTACAGTCAGTGTGTCTACAAATTGCTACACGTCTAGCTCCAATTATAAAAATATTAAATTTTAAATATATACACAGCCTTTGCTATAGAATATATTCCTTTATATGTACATAAGAGAGAGAGAGAGGGACTGTCTGTAGTTGATTTAGCACTTATCACATTATGATATATTACGTTATGATATATTGCATTATTGTATGTCAATGTATCTTTATGTGCTACTGGCTCTGTTGGTCTTTATGACCATATATGGCAAATCATGGAGTGATTTTGTCCTACATTGGTGATAGTACAAAAATTCAAGCTATTTTAGCTGAGTAATATTTAATATATTAATTAGTGTGGCACATGCTTCCTTAATGGATTAATGATGGTCGTGATGTGTTTAGGTTAGAGAAGCTGAGGAATTGGAAAGAGCACAGAGAATAACAACAGATAAGAAAATAGTTGTGCATGAGGAACTGGTTAGGAAGGCAGCTCAAAAAGAGGTTAGCTGAGGCTTATAGAGTTTTATTTTGTTTAACAATTAACTTTTTATTTAATCCTCTCTCTCTTTCCCTCTCTCTCTCTCTCTCTCCCTCTCTCTCTCTCTCCCTCTCTCTCCCTCTCTCTCTCTCTCCCTCTCTCTCCCTCTCTCTCTCTCTCCCTCTCTCTCTCTCTCTCCCTCTCCCTCTCTTTCTCTATCCCTCTCCCTCTCTCTCTCCCTCCCTCTCTCTCCCTCTCTCTCTCTCTCCCTCCCTCCATCCCTCCCTCTCTCTCTCTCCTATTTTTTATCTCTTCTAATATTTCTCTCTTCCTTTCAAAGGTTCTTAAAAATGAAGAGAAAGAGAGACAGCGTCGCATTAGTGAGGATACCAGTGGGAAGGACTCAGAGGAACAGAAAGAAAGAATGAAGACCTACGACAAACTTGTCAACGTCCAGGAAGATCTGTTACGTCATATGAGGAAATTGCAGGTACATTAACATTGATATTCAAAAAAGGAGAGAGAGGAGGGAGAGATAACGATCAAAGAAGACAAAAATAGATTAAATCAAGCGAAGCATATAAAAGAGAAAAGAGATATTGTGGGAAAGATTAAAAATGAAAGGTTATGTTAGAGGACATGAGAAAACACATGAGTATAGTATAGCTTAATTGTTTATTTATGTATAGTGATTATAACGAGATTATGAATAATTAATTAGACCCACCCACAACTATTTATAGTTGACTTTGATGTGATACAAGCATGCACACACACACACACACACACACACACACACACACACACACACACACACACACACACACACACACACACACACACATCTATGGGACACAAGATTAAGATTTAAATGTCACTTTATATGCCTTATATAGTATTTAAAGAGCATGCTTTGATATTCATCACATACCGTATAGCGGGAAATTTTGGAGGGAATTAAATTTTGCAAATTTGGCATTTCAATAGCCATTTGCGAAATAAAACCTGCCACATTGAGCCATTATACTCATGCTCAATGGCATGTGGCCACAAATTTGCCAAATTAGAATTCACCAATCATCAAATTTTAGTCTCTTCAAAATTTCTTTCTATATACAGCACCATAAGTATTATTCTAATATTAATGTAATTGTTACCATCACGCTACATTACATTACATGTATACATTACATATTGAACTCCATTACATTGCAGGCTGATGAAGCATTCAAGAGAGAGAAGGAGGATCGGATTGCTCAAGACAAAAAAAATGCTGTTCAAGAGGAGCTACTTCATAAAGTACATCCTGCATGGAGGGACTATAGAACTAGCTATTACAATATCATGATAGGTTCATCAAAAGCAGGTCCAGGCTGCAGCTCAAGAGGAGAAGGAGAGACAGATTGAACAGTTGGAGCACTTGACTGAGGAGGAGATGAAGCAGAGAATGTCCATAGCAACAAAGCTCTTGGCTGTCCAGGAGGAGCTTTTGAAAACTCGTGAACCAAAAAAAGTAAAATTTGGTTATTAAATTTAATAAGAGTATTAATGTCATTATGTTAAATTTGATGACAAACATAAGATTGATTCCAAAAAAAAAACTTGAGTGGAACTAATGCAAATAAATCAATATTTTGTGGCAAAACTGTATTACTTAATTTGTCTGTATTTTTGATAAAATTCAGATAATTAAAAGTTGTTTTATCTTAGGCTATTGCTGATCATCACTCGAGCGAAATGTTGGAAGATTTTAAAGTTTACATGCAAGAGCAGCTAGTGAGGAAAGCTAACCAGAAGGAAGCTATTGAGGTTCACAAACTATAAAAAATACTCTTTGTGACCAGCTTTTTTTATTCTCTTCATTTTGTTCACACCCCCCCAGGCAATGGAGGAAGAGCGAAAGAGGCGTATATCGTCCGGAGAAGACAAGCACTCAATCTCAGATGAACAAGCAGCAGTTCTTGAAGAAATGACAAGAAAAGTATAAAAAATTAATTTACAATAAGTATAACTAGCTCCATGTGCAATGTATCGTACCTAAAGTCCACTCTTTTGCTTGCAAATTTTTTTAGCAAATTTAGTGAGGAATCTTTCAATTCTTACAGTGATGTGTAAACTGCTAATAATTGAAATTAGTAGAGTGGCTAACATAGAACGCATGTTTAAAATTATTTGTTATTTATTTGTTATATTTTATGCTCCAGGCCAATATAAAGGAGTCCAAAAGGTTGTTTGACGAGACAAAGAAAGAGTATGAGCGTGCAGACCAAAAGGCGAAGGCACAAGAAGAAGCTCTTCGACAAGTGAATCAGAAACAAGCTGACAAAGCAATGGATGTGAGTCTATATGCATGTACATGGAACTATGATTTAAAATTAAAGCTACTTTGTAATTAATAATTGTAACATTATACATTGATAAAGTTTCAAAGCTTGCTTATTTTGTTTCCTTATATATTTTCATTCTCTCTCTCTCTCCCTCTTTATCTGTAATTTTTAGAGAGAACAAAAAGATAGAATTGCTTCAATGGAAGGCCAGTCGCCACCAAAGATCGGCCAGGAGCTAAAGAAAGAGATTACTGACCACAAGAAATGATAATTATGATCGAGTTGCACTGCAGTACTTTTGTTGCATTCAAACTTAGTTGCTTGAAATTTTTTTATCTTAATTCTTAGTGAACTTTTTCCCCCATTATGATTGTTAATAATGAAATTATAGTGAGACTTCAATAATGACTTATTAAATAATCAGTTTAAAAACAGCTAAATCAAAATCAATGATAAATCGCTTTGATATTAATAGTTATAATACAGTTACTTAACTAGCTTCAATATAACTGGCATCACTTCTAATACGAGTCTGTCTATCCACGACAAGTCGCTAGGAATGAGCAAACCACCTTCGTAGAAACCAAGATGGCCACCGTGAAGTGTTTGTATGAAGATTGACCTCGGATTGTGATCTATTCAATAAATAGAAATTGTAATAATGACACAACATAAGGACATCAATAATGTATCAGATAATGTAATAAAATTTGGGGCAATTTCGGAGCCATTTTTTGAAAAAACCATTTTTCAGAATTTTGGCGTTTTCTTAAAATGGCCATAACTTGATAAATTGAAGTCAGAATCAGCTCAAACTTTCTACGCAGCATAAGGACATCAATATATATCAGAAAATGTAATAAAAATTTGGGGTGATTTTGGAGCCATTTTTTGAAAAAAACCATGGGCTATAGTACAGGGTATTTTTCAGAATTTTGGCATTTTCTTAAAATGGCCGTAACTTGATAAATTGAAGTCGGAATCAGCTCAAACTTTCTACACAGCATAAGGACATCAATATGTATCGGAAAATGTAATAAAAATTTGGGGTGATTTTGGAGCCATTTCTTGAAAAAACCATGGGCTATAGTACAGAGTATTTTTCAGAATTCTGGCGTTTTCTTAAAATGGCCGTAATTAAAAAAACTGAAGTCGGAATCAGCTCAAACTTTCTACACAGCATAAGGACAGTAATATGTATCAGAAAATGTAATAAAAATTTGGGGTGATTTTGGAGCCATTTTTTGAAAAAAACCATGGGCTATAGTACAGGGTATTTTTCAGAATTTTGGCGTTTTCTTAAAATGGCTGTAACTTGATAAATTGAAGTCGGAATCAGCTCAAACTTTCTACACAGCATAAGGACATCAATATGTATCGGAAAATGTAATAAAAATTTGGGGTGATTTTGGAGCCATTTTTTGGAAAAAACCATGGGCTATAGTACAGAGTATTTTTCAGAATTCTGGCGTTTTCTTAAAATGGCCGTAATTCAAAAAATTGAAGTCGGAATCAGCTTAAACTTTCTACACAGCATAAGGACATCAATATGTATCAGAAAATGTAATAAAAATTTGGGGTGATTTCAGAGCAATTTTTTGAAAAACTATGGAATTTTCCATTATCAAAAAGAACATGACATAGTACATCTAGAACATGCACTTAATACACTTACTGGTAGCATATTTTATTGGTATCTCATGGAGCTCCTCTGGTATAATGGGGTCATCGATTGAATTAACAAGTATGACTGGAACTGATTTTATTTTGTGCAGAAACTTACGGCAAGATATGGTCTGATACATATCAGTGACTGAATCAAATCCTAAGACACGCCTACAAGTAATTAAACAAAAGATATTAAAAACTGTTATACAGTCCGAACAATTTTGCCATGTGTGCATTAACACACAAGCACAAGTAAGTTAATGTACTTTTATTAAATTGCTAGAACTTTAAAAGCTTGATTGCTTGAATCTTGCCACATTTAGTTTTAAAAACTTTAATTTACATGTACTGTATAGTGGGATTATTTTGAGGATAACAAATTTTGCGAATTTCGCAGATCTCTGAAGATTCACGAAATTAAATTCCTTGAAAATCAATTTAATACGGTACAAAATGGCAGATTAGTGGAAATTTGCGAAAATTAATTCCGCAAACTTCCGGATACAGGTCATTGAAATTTATTATCCTCGAAATAAACCCGCTATATGGTATACTGTATAGCTTGAAATTTTCGTGGGATATAAATTTCGTGGTTTTCATGGTTCTGGGCAGCCCACAAAATTTAAACCAACGAAATCATTGAAGTGCCATCTCTTTCCAGGCTATGTAACTGTCAACCATGAAATTTAAACCACGAATTGCCCCACTAGGAGCAAACCACGAAAATATTGACCCACAAAAATTTCAAGCTATACAGTATGATCTTTAGCTTCCTGTTTTTCCTCCCTCTCTCCATTTTTCTCTTCTCCTACCTTGTAAAGTGATCATCATACTCGGTTATAGATGTGCAGGACCACACCCTGTCATCCGGTCTTAAACGCTTTCCTTTATCAAGCGAGAAACCATTCACATCTCTTCCTTGATAAACTGTAGACTCAGGAATACATTCGCCATCACTCAAGTCCTCATTAGTAACTGTAGGCTCGTCTCTTTCTTTATTAAAAAGTACTGGCTCATGCTTTTTCAAGAAATAAGTTAAACGCTTTGATACAAGGAAATTATAAATTCTCATTCCTTCAGACCAGTGATACAGGCATGGAGCAGCTCTGGGAAGGAGAGAGAAAGAAAGAGAAGGAGGAGAAAGAAAAGAGTAAAGTAATGATAAAAATACAGGAAAGTACAAGATAAAAAAAAATGCAAAAAAATAGAGACAAGAAAATTTTCAAAAGTTGTAAATTTCACAGATTTCGTAATTTTCTAAAAATTTGCGAAAATCACTCCCGCAAAAATCAAAATGTTATGATACAAGATGAGCAGGCAGCATTAATTTAAGAAAACTAAATTGGTAAAAGATTTTTAGGCAAATTCATGAAATTTACAGCCTTCGAAAATTTTGCGCTATATAGTAACATCAAAACTCTGTCACATTTAATTCCCTTACTGTGCCGGACAGTATCCTTGACAGAAGGAGAATACGCAGGCAAACTTTGACTCAATTTTGTCATCTTCTGCCAGAAAATGGAGAAGATTAAAAGCACCAAGAGAGAATCCAATGCCGACAAAAAGAGTGTCTTCACCAAACCGATGGAGAAGGTCTTTGTACATCAGCAAGATATCACCAGTGCCTCCTAAACAATATCAACCCTCACATAAAACTATTACATATTGCCTTTGGCTAATGTTGTACATATCATTTGTTGATACTAATAATTATTAATTATGCTTCATAGTGGTTGATTTACCGTATGTAAATAGTCTTGGTGATTTGAGTTTCTCGTTAGGCAGACATCCTAAGTGATTAAGGACAGCCACACGATGCCCACTTTCAACTAAATGAGATGTGGTGTGCTTTATGTAGTCTGATTCAGCTGTATTTAAAATACCTATAGAGAGAGAGAGAGAGAGAGAGAGAGAGAGAGAGAGAGAGAGAGAGAGAGAGAGAGAGAGAGAGAGAGAGAGAGAGAGAGAGAGAGAGAGAGAGAGAGAGAGAGAGACTTTATGGTCATTAAAATACTCCTTTCTAATTTCAAAAATACAATTTATATTCATCAATTATAATTATCGTAACCATACAAGTACACATACATGAAACAACAAGAGTGCTCTTGGCAATAACAGTAACAATAGCAATAATAATAAAAGTAAAAATAAATGTTAATTGGTCAATGTACCTGGTATAATAATCACCATGACATTACCACGGGCACCATCATCAATGCTTTTGTCTCCAAATAAATCATAGCTCACAGTCGATCCATCCCTCACTTTTATTGTCACACGCTCCCTCGCTAAATTAAGATCTTTAAAGCGACCGAAGAAAGAGAACAATACAGTTTGTATGTGACCATTGTAACCCCACACTGGAGGGTTGTACCTGGAAGAATATTAATAAAAAGGCATGTAATACATTATTGTAACAAAATAAATATTATTTTATCAACAATAAGAATAAAATATGAGTACATAATAATTAATTTATTGATGACATAGCAGTGAAATTCCATTGTAACTTTATACATTAGGACACTGAATAGCTGGAATTCAACAAAAAGATTGGGGTAGTCTGTTTGCTTGGAGTTTACTATTGAACTAAAAAGTGCTAGTAAATATAAGAATGCAAATACATCAATTAACTGCACATGTACAGCTTCTTCTTGCAATTAAGAGAGAAGCAAAAAGTGTCGAGTCATTACAGACTGGATGAGAGCCAAAAATAGCACAGCAATAAGTGCGACTGTTTGTGAAATGAGGACTAATGGGATAACTTCTTGTTATGCGAATGTGATTCCAAAAGGGCTTGCTAACTGCAGTTAGCTGGCAACTGTGACTGAAATCCAGAGCTCAGTTATAATTCGCTATTAGTGTTTTTAACATTTAGGGAGTTTAGATAACATTTTAAAACACTCAATTGAGCGTGCATACCATACCCTCGACCATACCATACCATGCTAGTGCTACTGAGCCATTGGCAAATATACTTAGTAAGCTTACTATTGGCAATCAATGCAGTGGCACATGTATACACATACTAGCAAGCCCGTAGGCTGCTGCTTTACCTTTCTGTTAGTATAGGGCAGCGACTGACTAGCTCCCTACAAAACGGCGAGTTTCTCTGGTAGGCTAGTGTGGGGATGTTGCTCCTGCTCCACCAGGCTGCCCCTAGGAACAGTCTAGCCATCGAGCGGAAGGTAACGGGGAAGAGAAGGTATGATAGGAAGAGAAGGAGAGCAAACAGAGCAGCTATAGTGAGCATATTCCCGGTCACAGAAGAAGGAAAAATAAAAAATAGCTTGATTAGCCTTCGTTTCTAAGTAGGCGGGGCTTAATTTGAGCCACACCCGCTTCAATTTATGTGGGAATTTCTCTGGTATAATAATGTAATTATTGTTTAAATTTAAAATCATTTCTAAGGTTAGGAAAGGATTCTATTTCTTCTATTGTGAAGTCCTCTAGTTTTTTAAACGGCTGACACGGCCCATCCAATACTTTATAGATATTCTTAGCATAAGGATGTTCCTAAAAAAACAAAAATTTAATTTTAACTCTTAGAAATTCATTTTGAACTGACTTCGTCAGGAAAGAGATACAGACGATTCATTCTCTTTAGTCTCATACCATTCTTAGGCAGGCAGCCATTAATAGCTTTATAGAGCACCTGGACAAATTTTTTAAATTAATAATTTTAATCCGTGCTATTTCAATCTTTCACAATCCTTGCTCACTCACTCACTTTGGTGGGGTCTTTCTTGTGTACATCTTTACTCAATATTTCTTTTAATCCTCCAGGATATCTTTATTGATCATAAATAATAATTGATCATAAACAATAATAGTAATATACATAATAATTATTATAAAGATTGATTAATTAATAACAGTGTATAATAAACTGTATTAACGAGTAGGGTTTTACCCACACACTCACCCAGTGTGATGCCTGTATAGTTTCTTGTTCCATTTTTGTCCGGTAAAAACGACTTTTCGTGTATTAATTATAACAACATAGTCACCTGTATCAACTATTTAAAAATATATACTGATTTAATTTCTTTAAATGGAGGCCAGTAAACATGTATTAGACCAGCTGTCACATCACATAATTTTGTTATAAAATATATACCAGAAGAATGGTAGATTGGTTTGGTTTTCCCTTGAAGAATAAGCGAAACCATCACTGCCAAGCGACCCACGACTTGATCCTTGGCATCAATCAGATACCATAATTTAGTGTGAGTAGCGAGACTCTAAATTAAAAAAAAAAAAACACCAAGTGACACTTAATACCAGTGGTGCACCAACCTGACTTAAGAGTGAGGTCCTGAGAGACGCCATCTTGGTCTTAGCATTTAGCAGACTTTAGTACTGCGCATGCGCGATTTGTAGAATTGAATTTTAACAGAGATAGTGCTGCAGGAGATTGCAATGCTTGGAATTAATTTACTCATAATAACAGCAGATACACAAAAGTTAGATTTTGTCATCCAAAATACAAATTCACTGGATTTCTAGCAAATTAAATAAAAACACTCACTATTAAAATAAGCAAGTTGTAGTATATCAATACAATGCTAAGAGTAAGATCATTCCAATGAAGACAACTATGAGACAAACAGTAATGTATTTTTTGTTGAAAGCATATGCTATATAAAGAACTGAGCATAGATTCTAAGATATAGGATTAGAAGTACATTACTCAATCAGTAGACTAGTACTGCTGAATTTGAAAGAAGAAGCAAAATGAAGACTTTTATAATAGTCTCCCTCCTATCTTGTGTTCTTGCTATGCCACCTACAGGGTAATCTCAGTATTAACATTGAATGTATTCCAAATTATACATGTTTCTTTATACTACTATAATAGTTGGCCTATTTCTGTTGATATGGGTTGCAGTAAGTATATCTCTGCAGTTGCTTGCTCTTTTGAGTTTACCAACATTGCAAACGAGGCTCTTTATCTATTGAAACGTGGTACACCTCTTGAAGGACTCTTCTCTCAATTTCTCACCGTCTCTGTTGCTGGTAGTCCTGTTGAATATGATGGGCCATTTGTTTTCTATACTCCTCTTACAAAGGATGAGTTTGTTCTCTTGAAGGCAGGTGAAAGAATTTCTGCGTCAGTCCAAATCACTGATGCATTTAGCATTGATACTGATGGTCTCTACACTGTACAGTACAGTAAGCCTTTACTGTATCTGTCAGTGAATGAGATGAGTGAACTGTCTAATGGCCAATTAAGGGAATCAACAGTACAGGAATCTATTCACATCTATTTGGAGGACACTCATGCTCTCCTAAAACCAAGGAGGCCAAAGGAAACTGATAAAATTGACTACACTGTTAACATTGAATCCTGCAGCACTGCTAGCTTTACTGGCAGTAAAAACAACAGTGGAACACTGGATGCTCATAAGAGGCTCTGTGCCGGAATTGATAAAGTTAAAGGTAAACTTAAAAACAACAAACTCTACAGAACCTGGTTTGGTGCATATGACGCTAGCAGGTTTACTACAGTATCAAATGTATACAACTACATGAGGAATGGATTGGCTTCAAAATCAGTTAGATATTACAACAATGGCCCATCATGCAAGTCCAACTGGGTAGCTTATACTTACAGATCATACTCAGGCACTACTGTGTATCTTTGCAATTCGTTCTATAAGTATCCAACAGCCTGCAGGGGTACAAAATATACTAAGGAACGTGTTCTCCTTCATGAATGGGCTCATGCTCTAGGTGGTCGTAGTGATGAAGCTTATTATGCTGATAATTGCAAGAAATTAGCAAAGAATGAGCCAGCTAGAGCCATTAAAAATGCTGACAGCTTTAGTTTCCATTACTGTAAAAGTCAGTAAGCTGATCAAGTCAAGCCAAGAACATTATACAGAAATCATGCAACACTATAGGCCATGTACTTTTCTTTAATAATAATAAATTAATTTACTATAATACTTTCCACATTTTAGAATTGTTCTTTGGCTTCAATAATAAAATTTCAAATATTCTCAAAAACTGAAAATTAAACCATAAATCTTAATTGACACGTGCTGGTAATATGAATTGTAAAGGAATGCAGTATTATACAAACATGTACACAATAATTATTACGATGAAATCTCAACAAATTCTTAAATACTAACAAAGGCACAATGCCCACAGGACAAAATAATAAAGAGAGTCTTATATCGTCACATGTCTAATGATGTAAGGTAAGCAGGTGGTGCCACGTTTAGTGTTAATCCACCAAAAGTGTACGGCTCAGAGAGTTCTACAAACAAGAGATCAAGGAATGAATTTCTACTAGTTTCTCTCTTACTAGCAGGGACAGCTCCATCACAAGCCAGTATCTCTCTGTATGCTCCAAACTGCAACAAAACTAGTATTGTCTGGCCGTTGCTGGTCAGCTCCTCGCACTGCTCTGGTAGCATGGTTTCATGAATAGTCTCATCTCCTTCCTAATAAATTTTACAAATCAAAAATACTTTAATTGCTGGCATGTTCATATTTGCAACTAGATTACAGCAGTCATCATCGTTCATTGTAGTTATACTGTATAGGGGTTTTATTTTGTTGGTATAAAATTTCACAAACCTTACCTTCTGCAGTCATTTTTCCTAGTGTGCCACACTTTTTTGTGGAATTTAATTTCGCAAATTAAATCAAAACGTGAAATTAGCGAAATTTATTTCCAGTGAAATACAGCCCCTATATGGTACTCTTAAACCTTCAATACTTCTGTTGTTCTGTATTACCCAAAGAAATTTCAGTTACATATTCATATAGTCATCACTTCTACACATACTATCATTACTATGTACATGCACTTATGTACATACATTTTAGTTAAGATTTCTCTCCTTTATTCTCATGCTATGCACTCACCTCACATGGGTCAGGTAGACCTATTGATCCAGGTAGAAAGAGGCCAGCTGCCAGCAACTGAAACAACCGCCTAAAGCCATCCACTAATGAGAGAGGCTCTCCATCATTCAGTGGTATAAGGGCACATTGACACTGGTAATATCATGTTAGTGTATTTTCTTATGATAATAATCTCTTACAATTAACTCAATAGACCAAGTGTTGAGGTGATTTAGTCCAGGAACATGACCTCTCATGGATTTAATGATACGAACTAAACTGCGTATGCTACAAAAAAAAAAACAACACGCCAAGTGAATAAATGATTTAGAACTACTATATAAAAGAATGTAAACGTTAAGGGGAAGTGGCTACTAATTTTAGTATTTTTAATATTGGTCATAATTATTAACCTTTGGATTGCCTAAATTTTTCTCTGTGACTACTTGTTCTAAATTCATTAAATCAGTACACACAACTTAATGATAACACTGTAGTGTAGTACTATGTAGTGTAGTATGTAGTGTAGTATTATGAACTAACTTTTTCAACTGATCAGTATTTTCCTGCCACCATCTTGTGTGTCTTATCATGCGAAGAGCGTGAGCGTACATCTCAAAGTCATCTGGCAAGAATTATCACATGATTGTCACATGATATGCGTGTGTTACCTCCTAGAGTTTCAGGTGATGATCCAAAAATCACGTGACCAGTGGAGGTACTGAAGACCCGAACGATAGCACCATCAGTACACATGTCAAAACCTATTGAGTTAAAAATAAATATACCATTAGAATTTTTATCTACCAAAGGAAGTTTGAGCCAGTTTTAGTATATTTCTGATCGATGTCCTTACAATTAGTGTACGTGTATTTAGAATTTTGAGCCAATTTCAACTGCAATTTTTTTGAGGCTATGGTCATATAATAAAATGGGCCTTTTTCTGATAAATACCCTGTACTATAGCCCATAACTTTTTCCAGAAAATGGCTTGTAAATCACCCCAAATTTTTATTACATTTTCTGATACATTTTGATGTCCTTGTGCTGCGTAGAAAGTTTGAGCTGATTCCGACTTTAATCTTTCAAGTTACAGCTATTTTAAGAAAATGCAAAAATTCTGAAAAATACCCAAGGCTATAGCCCATGGTTTTTCCCAAAAAATGGCTCCAAATTCACCCCAAATTTTTATTACATTTTCTGATACATATTGATGTACTTATGCTGCGTAGAAAGTTTGAGCTGATTCCGACTAAAACTTCTCGAGTTATGGTCATCTAAAAGTAGGCAATGGGCCAGCAGTAATAATCAATAAACACATAAAATGCTTTTTTTGTACAAAAATTGGCTCAAAAATAATACCTTAATTTATACCAATGACACATCTCTCTCTCTCTCTCTATCTTACATTTCCCACGTGATATGATTTCCACCTTTACTTTGTTTTCGTCCGTCGTAGTCTCCAGGATACCCTTTACTTTAAGAGCCAACTCGTTAACAATTTTTTCTATGCAAAAATAAATACCATCGCCCATTAAAATTTTATCAACATCAGATAATATCAAACATGGCAGCCACTGAGGCTTACCTTGAGGGATGTCTTTATACAAGACAACAACGTCTGTCACTAGGCTTCCAGCAAGAGCAGTCCCCTTCTTCTGGGACCCAACTAATCTTACTTCTTCTAACATCTATCATTAGAAATTTTTTTAAATCTTGCCCTGCTGGTTATATTTTGTGAAAATGAAACAATACAAAAATTCCAGCTGTATAGTTATTATTTTATGTCCTTTTTCTCTCTCATTTCTCTTTACTCTCTCTCCCTCTCCCCCCCTCTCTCTCTTTCCTTTCCCTCCCTCCCTCTCTCACCAGCTGCTCTCCTTCACCAGTTAGTATTAGGTTCTCAATGACAGTCATTACTTTTGTACCAAAACCTTGAACACGACTCTAAACAGATTAATGAACACAAAAAATCAAATGATAATAAACTAATCTGGTGACCACCTGTTCCTCAATTGAGGGAGAGACATCTTGCGCCTTTTTTTGAAGCAACTATAAAATAAATAAAAAATATTAAAAAACTTATGCCCGCCCCCGCACACAAGCAAATTGATTAAAAAGTACTTTATTTATACAAAAAACGAACAAAAGACAAGGTTACACGTACATGCATATGATAAAATATAGCCTCACAGATATATGTACATGTATATACATAAGAACATGTATGTATCAGTGTAAAAAGAACATGTATCAGTGTAAAAAGAACATGTATGCTATGCTTAGCTTATACTTGTGATAATAAGGAATAGTCCATTTCAGGGGCGGCTTGAGGAAAATGAGTTTCAACTTCTGACCAATCAAATATCGGTCGAATTATCGGTGGGTAGGTTCTTTCCTCCTTTTCAGTGCTACTGTAATAATAATAATAATAATAATAATAATAATAATAATAATAATGATGATGATGATGATAATAATAATAAATATTACTATTAGTGGGACAAAATCTGCTCAAAGGCTATGGACAGGGTATTATCAAAATTGACAAGGAAAGAATTCTCCATTTTTACAATATTTTCTGATCCGCATACTTGTTTTATGTTGCATGGAAATTTTGAGCTAGTACTGATCAAAATTAGATTTTGTAATGAATTTAAAGAGTTGCTTCTTTATGAAACATTCTGTTTAGCTCACTTATGCTCTATTAAAATCCTAATGAATATTGACATCAAGATCTACTGTATCTAGACATGTACATTTTTATTATTTAAAATACACCTTAACTTTTAAAATTCACACTAGCTTTCTTTTAATTAGTAGGCGTGGTCTACCTGCCACTAATAAAAATGGCAGCTTTTTGTAATCAGCAGTAAAACTGATAGCTCATATTTAAGAACTAAATGACAATTACTAATCCAACTATATCATATTAAATTATTAATACCTTCTATTCCTTGGCATGCCTCCTCCTCCTCCTCGACCGCGGCTCCATCTCCTCTTGCCCCTCCAATGGCTACAGTGGTGGTTTTAAAAACAAAACGGATTATATTTGCTTACTTTGGCCTTTTGTCTGACGTCTCCTCGTTGATTTGAGTCACTTTGTGCCCTCCATCAGGAGTAATGGTAGCACTCCACATGTCCTCTTGATTCCCTTACACTTTAGCGGGAATGAAAACTGCGCATGCGTGGACCCAAAAACTGGCGGGAAGTTAAAGAAACAAACAAAATGGCGTCTGATGAACAAGTGATAAAAGGTGTGCATTTCATTATCCTTAAGATTGTATTCATCCCTTCTTTTAGACAAGGAAAGAGTTCTTCAGACCTCAACTCCATTTATTAGGACCTCAGTTCAATCAGCCCAAGGAGGACAGTTGGACGGGAGTCTGTTTGAAATCCCAACAAAGAAACAGGACTCTACAGTAAACCTTGATACGAGCCTCTTGGATCAGACGAGCAGAAACGAGGAGACCACCTCAGAGCATAACAGCACCAATGTTACTCAACTCAACGCCGGGTTCATTAATTCTACTAGCGTCTGCTCAGAATCTGAGTCAATTGTACAACAGCCTAACGAGACTGATAGAGGATATCTTGATGCAATAATTGAAGAAGAAGAAGATGAACAGCCTGCCGGCATTGCTGCCTCTGATACTGGTGATGCTGCCGTCAAGACTGAAACCCAGACTGCTGAGACTGAGACCCATACTCCTGAGATTGATACTGCTGGAACTAATACTGATGCTTCCAATACTGAGACCAATACTGCTAAGACTAATATCGATGCTTCTGATACTGCTGAGATTGATACTGCTGAAACTAATATTGATGCTTCCGATACTGATACCCATACTGCTGCTGAGGCTGATACCTGTACTGCAACTCATGCTGAGACTGATGCTGCTGATATTGAAAATTCCATGGATACAGAGACTTCCAAGACTGATACTCATTCTGGCATTAAATCATCTACAAAAGCTGCAAAAGAGAGCAATTCAAGATATATTGAGTCAAAGACGCAGCAACCAGAGAAACAAAGGAAGAGAAAAAGATTAACAAAAGTATTTTTAATTTTAGTTGAGATAAATAATTTTTGTTTGTCTCACTAATCGATAAGCATCTTAATTGTGACATAAATAAAATGTTTTAATGATAATTTTTAGGCGGAGCAGGCAGCACTAGAGGCTTTGGAATCATTTGGTGGGTCAGATTTGGGCTCCGTTTTACTCAAAAATGAAACATTTGAAGAGCGTCTAGCAAGAGATAAACAAGCACTCGAGTCAGAGTCAGGAAAGATGGAGGGAGTCCCTCCTGCAAGGAAGAAGACAAGACTTGAACTTGCACGAGAAGAAGCAAAGCTTGCTTTTGAAAACATACCGTTGGGACAGACTGATAAACGGTATGATGGCATTAGCATTTATGATTGAATTAATTAGCGATTGATTAGGACTCCTCCCCCTGCCCCTCCCACAATTTATAAGGATGTTAGTGAGCGGAAGCTAACACGGACGCAACGAGCGAAACTTGAAGTACTTCAGAGTTTTGGTGGTACTGGTTTTGATGACCTTTTTCCAAAAAAGAAAGAAGAAGAGGAGGAGGAGGAGGAAGAGGGAGAAGGAAAAGCAAAGGAAGGCATTTTTGAAGAGGACAAGAAGGAGAACAAACCTGTTTCAGAAACTGGCTTGACCAGTTGAATGCTCATATACATGTACATTGTTAAACTTGGACTCAAAAAATGTCATAATAATGTAGTTTGTTTTCCCAAAGGTGCATCACTGTTATCATAACATGATTATTATTATACTGTATCAAATTCCATTTAACATTAATACAATGATCAAGTTCTTATTTGCTTACTTTTTTTGCTGATTGCTCCAGGAGTGTTCCAGCCTCCTACAGCTATAGCATGTTGTCTTTTATTTTCTTTGCTTCTGCTCTTTTTTCACTTTGTGCAACTTCAACAACTGGTAAATAACGATGTAGCGTATTTGTTAATATTCTTTACTTATTTTTAGGCAGAGTAAGACTTAGTAGTGAACACATAGCTCACAGTGGTATTGTAGAGATATTCATTAATGATCAATGGCTTCCAGTCTCATTCCGTGAAGCCTGTAGTGAAAATGAAGGAGATGTCATCTGCAGGCAGCTTGGTTTTAAGACAAATACTGGGACTTACAAGCAGGAACTGTGCTCAAACCCTGAGCTATATATATTTGATATGTCTTGCATTGGGACTGAAGTATCTGTTCTACAATGCAATGACATTACAACCAAAAGGTCTGCCAGTGATGAAGACAATAATTTTGAAGCTTGTGCAGTATCTTGTGCCAGTAAGATAAAAATAAGTTGTAGATCTTTAAAGTATGTATCAATTCTTTCTAGATTCCCTAACACCATACATCAATAGCTCAACAAGCCTGTTATCATTGTATCATAATGATGACTGGTATCCAGTTTGCTATGAGACCATAACAGAGTCTGATGTGACAGTCATATGTCGTGAGTTAGGATACAGTGAAGGAGTAGCTGATTCTGTCACATTTGATTTCTATTCTACTAATAGTGAGTTATTGACCAGTAGACTATGCAACAGTGTAGATCTACATAAAAAGCAGGCATTAATTTAACATGCATAGGAAATAGCAAAAATGATAAGTTTATAATAACTTAAAATCATCCAGTATCATTCTTTAACTATAGTACTGGTCCAGGATGATTTTAACTTCTTAATGTTATGTTTTAATAGATTCTGCTCTATATTTTGATGGTAACTGCACTGGATATGAATTCTCATTGAGTCAATGTCACCTCAACGATGAAATACAAGTTGATTCTGATTGTACTGGAATAACAGTAGTATCTTGCTTTGGTAAGTAATTATATGATGCAATTTGATGTCATTTATGGATTTGTTACTCATAACACAATATAATATGACAAACAATACCCTTGTATTTCTCCTCCTTCATTTTTGTAGGATTTAGTCAGCCCCCATGTCCTCCTCTGCTTTATTCCACTCCAACCTGTAGCTCAATCACTCTCTCTGTATCACATAATAATCATTATTACTACATCCAATATAAAGTTCATTCTAATGACAATTCTTCTGACTACTGGCTGAAAACTTCATTAAGAAATGATAGTATAATAACAATTGAGAATCTATTGCCAGCAACCCTGTATCAGTTCAACACAGTTCTGGTTGGGCTGAATGATAATAGCACTGCTTCCAATTCAGTGCTGTACATTACAAGCAAACCAAGTAAATAAAAATAAATAGAATAATATATAATGATCACAATTTGCATTGTGATATTTAGGAGTGCAAAGTGTGTACATGTTAACTGCTAGTAATGTTACCAGCACCCAATTAACTCTTAGTTGGAAGGTAAGGACAATACTCACAGCATTTATATATTTTATTTGAAGCTAAAGACAATGTAACAATTCCTAGTATAAACAGCAATAATATACCAATATAGATTAATTTTTAAAATATTATTCTCTCATTCCTTGCTTTAGTTATCAGACTCATTGTGTCCAGTTGTGTCCATTACTAGTTTTGAAATTCGTCTAAGTAACTCAGTTCAGACCATTACAGTGTCTTATGCTGCCTCTGAAGTACAAAATGATAAAGCAAGCTACAGGGCAGTCTTAGCTGGCCTGACCTCTAGTACACGATACAGTATAACTCTTAGAGCTATTGGTAAAGTGGGCAATACTAGTGAATTAGTATATGGACCAAACTCAAATGAGCTCTTTATCAATACTCTATCATCAGTAGCTGGTTCTGGTGGCTCTTTTCTTTCTAATGAAACAGTCTCTGTAGTTTTATTCATTCTGCTATTAATAATAGTTGGACTCATCATTGTTATAGGAGGCGCTCTCTTTCTTTATTTCATTTCAAAAAAGTGCAGAAAATTAGGAAGAAAAAAGAAGTAAATAAAAAAAGACTATCTGGCATTATTATTATTATTATTATTATTATTATTATTATTATTATTATTATTATCATTATTATTATTATTATTATTACCATCATTATTTTTATTAGAATGAGGACTTCGAGTCTATACTGTGATACTAATGTCTACATTACAGGTAAGACAATGGAGTTTTGTTGATAAATCAAACTTGTTATCCTGTTGCAATACAGACCAAGACTAGTTGTTTATAAATTCCTGTGCCTTTATGAATACCTTTAAAACAATACTATTAGGAAAACAAATATTATATATGCAACACAAATGGATCCTTTGTGTATTAAGCTTGCTATTGTGTAGGTGATTTATCTGATCAGAGCTACATACCAATGTCAACCAGGCTGGCAATACCTGCACTAGATAACCCAGTGACACTGATTAACACTCGTAGGAGATCCAGCAGTGTTGACAGAACACCTGACTGCTACTGGATAAGTAAGTTACAGAGTCACAAACACTTTAGGCTCGAATGAATTTTATCTCAATTGCACGATTATTTCTACAACCTATAGATCTTCCATCATCTCAAGACATTACTACATTCAGTCCAGTGCTAGAGGAATCAACAGATGCAGATAATGCAATGTCTGATGATGATCAGGGACCAACAGCAAACAGCACCAGTGCTTTGGTTGAAGGAGAAAACGAGGGAGGGATTACGATTACAGCAGCTACTGGTGAAGAGAGACCAAATATAAAGATAATTGTTGATGACATTGATGATGATCATCCATATGATGAAATACCAGGAGCACCAAAGAGGAAAATGACAGTACAAGAAAATAGAGATCTTGTAATAGCAAACCGGACAACGTTCAGAGCTGCAGAAGGAGATGAGAGTAGGAAAGAGAATGTTGATGATGATGATGATGATGATGATGAAGAGAAGGTTTACGATGAAATACCACCACCACTAACACCAGATGAATCATCTATCTCTAGTCAAGGTAGACTGAAAGGCATTCTATTGTAGGATAATACCTTTAACTGTTATACAAATGCCACCAACAGTATTAGTGCAGCTTTTAAAGATAAATAAATTATTGCAGTTACCATCATTATTTCTGAATTATAGCCAGCTATTGTACATAATTGAAATTCACCACATACCTTTAATGCACATTATGCCATTTATCATTTGCTGCATACTTAAATGAACAAACTCCTACTTTACCTTAATGATACTTATATTTCTTTATAGATGAAGATCTCCCTCCATATCTCCTAACACTATCTCAAGAACCAAATGAGCTCACTCCAACCTTCCTTCCACCGCCAAAAGAATTTGCAGATTTGCCACAAAGAAGACAAGGAGCTGTCATATCACCAATCTACTCTCAAGCCAAAACAAAACCATCACACCATAAGAGACATCGCTCGTTTGACAATGAAGAGCCTCCAACGACCTCTGGGGACATTATGAGCAGCCCTCAAGCAGCTCATAAGTCAGAGAAGAACTCCCTTCGTGGCAGAACTGCCTCTCACTCTCTAGTGAGCAGGAGCAGGGCCTATACAACACAATCAGTGACAAGACTTGATGTTATTGACAAGGTCTGGGACTGGGAGGAGAGGGAGGGAGAGATGAAGGATGCTTACTACAACATCCCGAGCACTTTCAAGGATCCAGTGAGTGCCAGCAACGAGTCTCTACCTGCTAGTAAAAGAAAAGATGATGGTGAGTATGAGATACTAGTTCATCCATCAGTCTCAGGTACTGCCATTGGCACTGGACCAAGAGTGAGGAGACATAAAAGGCCTCCTCCTCCAGTCCCTTCGCATCCTCCATCAACCAAAGTCCTTAGCATATTGAAAACCCAAACTGGAAAGTGAAGACTGAATACACAATGAATAAATTTTTGATAATAATGATATAATAATAACACTAGTATAATAACTATATAGACATATATATATATTGGTAGAATACATATATGGAATACAATTCTGCTTTTTTATTTGCAAGTAATTTGAACTATTTCAAAAACAATAGTATCACCTTTAAGGAACTGAGCCAGTGCGATGCCACTCCCACCGGCAGCCACACCCTCCGCCCCTCCTATCACCTGTACAAGTGGGAGGAACTGAGAATAGCCACGCCCAGTTCCCGCTATACGGTCCCCAGTGACACGATTGGACGCCTCATTCTCACTACTAAAAGAAACTTTACTTTCGAAATGTCTATTCGCTGGAGATTGGTCAATTAGGCGAAAATTAACAACGGCGTTGAGCGGCCATTTTAATTTTTCGTCGAACTCCCCTTTCATCACGTGAACATACACGGAGATGTGAGTTCCGGAGCCACTCCCACTCCCAGAGGGTTTGACTTCCATTCGAAACTTGTACCCGCACGGGTGGGAATAAAATGGCCGACTCTGCCACCATGTTCCACTAGTTTTGTAACCATAGAAACCAGAGAGGACGAGGGTAAGAGGAGGGACAGAGGTACATGTTAAGGTCATTAGATTAAGTTTTGATTCCAATTCTGAAATTGATTGGGCGGGGCCATCAATACTATGTTCTTGAATATTCAACGATGTACCAGCTGCTTGAGTAGCTTCCAATTTTTTACTCAGTTCGTCAATTCTTTTAGCCATTTTACTGTTTTCTCTCTCCAATATGTCCGCACGCCCTCTACTCTCGACTAGCTGTAATCGTATCTCGTCCTGTGACTCTAGAACTTTAACAATCTCAGCCTTTAGCCCATCTCGTACTTTCCCCATCTCTTCCCTCAATCCTTTATTCTCCTCCTTCAAAATGGCAACCTCCTCCACTAAAGGCGCCAGTCTACCAATGAAACCCATCATGCTAATCCCGAGGTTAATTTGTTCTGCTTTCATTTTATGCACAAGTGCATCCAACGTGACTTTAGGGCATGAATCTTCATGAGCTCCCACATCGATTGGCAGTAAAGAGGCACCACAATTATATGGGCATGGTCTTGGTACAAACTGACACTCCATTGGTAAATGAGTTTCAAATAGACGACCAAGAGGTCCACTCCATCCGCAACCTTTCTCTCTATGAATGCAATACACAGGGATCGAAGAGACTTCTCTCTTCTTCTCCAAGTTTGGGAATATCTTAAAGTTAGTTTTTCTACAGAGAGGACATGTTTCTACCCGGTCTATGCAGTAATGACAAAAGTGGTTGCCACAGCAATCAGTGATATAAGGGTCTTTCAGTACGCTAAGGCAGATAGGACAGATGAGGGACTCTGGAGGACTAGGAGAGACAAAGTTTAGACTAGACCATCCACTGCTGACGGGCGGAGGAGATGAAGGCGAAGAAGGAACTTTGCTCATTTATCAAAACCAGATTTGAAAAGAAGCCACCTCTCTAATCTTTCTTCTTCTTCTTCTCTCCGCCTCAACTCCACCCAGTCCCAGCAATTGAAATAATCTGCTTCTAAAAATCTTAAAATGGAGCCAGATGGTTCTCTTCCCTATTTCACCAGAGGGACAGTAGTAAGAGGCTTTGGAAGAGGAAGCAAAGACCTGGGAATACCAACAGGTTCATTTTAGTCATAAAAATAATCATTAAAAATCTAAATCTTGCTTGGATTTGATGATGTCTCTTACTGTAGCAAATTATCCAGAAGAAGTGGTTGAGAGACTACCCCTTGATATTAAATGTGGTGTGTACTACGGATGGGCTAAAGTAGACAATGGCCCAGTCCATAAGATGGTAATGAGTATCGGCTGGAATCCACAATACCAGAACACTAAGAAGAGCATGGTAAGTAGAGTAGACTCTACTCTAACTACTGCAAATTCACATAATAAATCAGGCCAAACTCTCTGTACTATAGTACATGGTCTTGGGTCAGATTTTGCCAAAAATAAAAAGGAGATATTTATTGTTGCATAGAAATTTTGAGTTCATTCCGATCAAAATTGATTTTTTTGACAAAAAAAGTTGCTCGACAAGCATGCTTTGTTGAAAACCCTGGTACATCTCTTTTAAAATTGCTCTCTCTGCAATCATAAATGATTATGAATTTTACAGGAGACTCATATATTGCATGATTTTCCTGAGGATTTCTATGGAGCCGATCTACAGGTTTGCATAACTGGTTTCATCAGAGACGAAATGAAATTCAAATCATTAGGTATACCACCAATATAATTATCACTATTAAAACAGCTCTCTCTCTCCCTCCCTCTCTCCAGATGAATTAATTTCAGCCATTAAAAGTGACATTAACATTGCACAAGAGAAGCTATCACTGGATAATAAAGAAAAGGAAGAATTATCGAATCATTTCAATTAATTTTTTTTATCAATTATTATTATTTTATTTATTTATTTCTAGTATGTATAACTTCATGACAATACAACAGATTAATAATTATATTTAATATTGTTAATATTAATTGTTAATTATGCGTCACAGAACAAAGGTGGTGGGAGGGGACACTAATGACGAGAACTGCTTGGTTGTGGTGACCTTTATAAAAGAAAAAAATGACATGTATAAACCACAAACAAGTACATATACATGAAACAAATAAATACATACAAACTTTTTTATACATAACACAGTTGCTATGTAATAGAATTTAGATTTTATTTAGCTATAAAATTTTCCACAAAAATTTTGTACAGTAGTTTGCGTACACATGCATGTTAATACATAATATACACATGGATATACAAGTACATGTACATGTACAATGTATGATACATGTACATGTACATGTAGTATAAGAAAACGTTAACACTTATATGTACATGCACACAGTTTTTATATAACAAAAACAAAATTTAGATTCATTTACAATGTAGCATAAAAGTTTTAATTTGTATCCAAAATTTTGCTGCATGATGCATGTACATGTACATGTAGAGTTATACCTTGTTAATGAGATATGACTCAAAGCCGGTGCTGTTCCTCCAGGCTTGCCTTCAATACAGATAGCACACTAAAACAATTAATTAAAAAAATTAATAAATATAAAATAAAATAAATAGAATTGTTGTCCTCAAATAAAATTTATTACCGTATAGCAGGATATTTTGGAGGGGATTAAATTTGGCGAATTTGGCGTTTTGATAGCCATTTGCCAAAATAAAAACCCGCCATTTTGAGCCATTATACGCATGGTCAATGGCACATGGCCACAAATTCGTGAAATTAAAAATCAGCCAATCACCAAAATTTAGCAATTCGCCAAATTTTAGCCCCGGCCTCCAAAATTTCCCGCTATACGGTATTGCATGAACTCACTCTTCCTTCAACGTCAGTCCGTTCCTCCTCTTCCATCAAGGCATCATGAAGGCTATCGGTATCAACAGTAGATATCGAAGATGACGACATATTCTTCATTGAGAGTGATCTCGTTATGCGTCGGGATGGCTTTGGCGAGACATGATCAAGTTTCTCAATGTCGGTGAATTTCACAGACGCCCCTCCGGTACGAGTGAATAAAATATCCCCTTTGTATAGCTCTGTTTTAACGTCACCAGAAGGATCTTGTTCCTGATGCTTTAATACGTATTTATCTACATTCTAGAGAAAAAAGGTTAATTTTTGATTATGCCATTTTTATTATTATTCTTATGTACTTGTGATTTGAAGTGTTTAGGTTTTGGATTAGTGACGGTTTTCTTTTTCTTGAACCTAGGCTGGAGTATGTCATTGTTTTCAACACAGTCAGTCGGTTTGTGCTCCAACCAGTTCTCAGATAAAGAGCGTTTCCTCTGTGCCTTACCCTTTGTATATAATGGGGCAGTCTAGAGGAGAGAGAGAGAGAGAGAGAGGACACTGATAGTGAAAGGGCCACAAAACATTTGTCAAAGACAGTGACATCAATAACTTGACATAAAAACAAGAGTGTAGATAACACATGTACTTTACTACTCCAAAGACCATACAACCAAAAACAACATATAGAGTCTTACTCCTTCTTCAGTTTTATTCTCTTTATTGGAGGTTTTCAATGGAGTGTTGCCTCTAGACCGAGCTGCATCCAACCTTGCCTCTCTGAGTGGAGAGTTACACGCGTGCAAGAAGTCACGGACTTGAGCTATTTTCTCTTCTTTTGCTTGACACTCCATCTCGGTTTGTTCCTTAGCCTTGGCTAATCTCTCAAACTTGGCTCTCTCCCGTTGAACTTGACCTTCTAATTCACGCTATAGAGAAGAAGAGAAAGACATTAAGCATACATACATGTACATGTAGAGCATGTTCAACAAAGAAAAATATATAAAAAACCTATCTACTTGTATTTTTGACAAAATACCCTATACTATTTATACATGTATAATAAGTAAAGGGACTTTGGCCTCATTTTTGAGCAACTTTAAACATTCATAAAAAACCTAACTCTGATCGGAATCAGTTGAAACTTTCTACGCAACATAAGTACATGTATATACGTATGTGAAAAAGTATAAAAATTAAGAATTCTTTTCAAGTAAAATTTACTGTCATCTTAGCCGATCTGGTCACTTGAGTATTAATATCATGTGCCTTCACTTCCAATTGTGCCTTGTAGTTGGAACTTTCCCTGAGGAGATGGTCATTTTTTTGTATTGCTTTAGTCAGTTGATTATTAAGGCGAATCTTCTCCTTCTCTTTCTCTTCCAGTTCCATCTTGAAGGATTGTATGCTGCCATTTAACTGTGCAATCTTAAAGATAAACAAACATACAATAATATCAACAACAAAATGAACAACAAAAAGAGCAACAAAACAAACAACAAAACGAACAACAATTTATGATTATTTACTTCTTTGTTTTGTGCTGTTATTACTCCTTTAAGTCGAGTGAGTTCTTGCTGAGCTTTCTCCTTACTAGACTTTAATGAATGAATCTACACACACAATCACAATTGTACAGTATATTAACTATTATAATAATTAAGATATACATGTACATGTCGAATATAAACACGTACATGTACATGTACAGCAAGTAAATTTTAAGATTATCAGAATCAGTCAAAATTAAGGTGTAGACTATTTTCAAATTTTAGATTTTGCATACAAAAATTTTGGATTGTGTGCTCATATTTATCTAAAACAAGATATGCATTTTAATTACAATTACTATTTTTATAATAATGCATGTGTAATATAGTCAGTATACATATTGATATTACTATAATGCAATACTTTACCTCTTGACATTTTGATCTTAATTCATTCAGTTCCTTCTCCGTTGATATGAGAGCCTCTCTGAATAAAGACGCTACAAATAAAATAAAATAAATAAAAAACCAACTCCCTCCCTCTCTCTCTCTCCCCTCTCTCTCTCTCTCCTTCTCTCTCTCTCCCCCCCTCTCTCTCTCTCTCCCCCTCTCTCTCTCACTCTTCTTTGCTTGATCTGCTATCAGTTGTGGTCGGGTCTTTAGTCTTTTTTCCAAAAACTCTCTCAACTCTCTACAACTGGCCTCAGGATTGTCCTCAGATAAATACTACACATTGAAAATAAAATAAAGAAATGAGTGATGGGTTTAATCAAACCACACCCACACTAATTAACAAATAATAATTAATTAATTAATATTAATTAATGACCTCTTGTATGCATAGTACACCCAGAGCTAATTCGTAGGGGTGTGGTGTACGTGGAGCAACTACAGTGCGATAGATCATATTAGCTGTAAGAAAAAGGAATTATTATTAATATTATTATTATTTAATTTTATTATTGTGATTACCTCTTCTCCTACCAGGGGCTAACCCAATATCAGATCTAATGGTAAGAGGGAGAGAGAGAAAGGGGGGGGGGGAATTATTAAGAATTATTACAATAAACAATAATAATATTTATTATTACTTTTTAGGGGCTGGCCTGTCAATTTTAACTTCTTGAGTTACTTCAGCAAAATTCATCACATGCTAGAAAAGTACATAATAATTACATGTACAAGATAAGCAACAACAACAACAACAACAACAACAATAACAATAACAATAATACTATTAAACTTACAATTGATTCATCATAGTCCTCAGCTCTTGGGCTGACACAGACTATCATTCGTACCATGCCCTCGCCATCAAAATAATTCTTAAACAACACGGTCAACTTTGAATCCCTGTACGGCACAATCTACAAAGGAGACACTATAGTCACAACAAAAGCAATAATATCGCATGTCACTTTAATTTAATTTGCATAGCTAAAATTTAATTGGCAGATTGATAAAAATCAATTTTTCGCGGAAATAATTTTTACGGATTCGCAATTTTAGTGCCATCCTTTAATGGCAATTGAATATTTAGCGGATCTTTAACTTCGCGGTTGCATGCTAACCCAAAAAAACAGAAAAACTTTTGCTCCTTGAAATTAAAGCACTATACAATATAGCACAGTGTCTTACCTTGTTCGTCCCATTACGCTGGTTCTCGCGGAGTGTCTCCATACATTTTCTTAGAGTCATTAAAGATTGATTAATGCGACCTATTAATAAAATCTTTGACTGACCACGCCTACTAACAACCACACCCACCTGCTTCCATCACCCGATTCCCTTCATTGCAAGTTCGGTGAGTTCTCTCTGAGCCGGCCAGATCAACAAGAGATAGCTGTGATACAGTGATTTGAGAGTCATCCTGCAACACTTGGGCCCCACTAGGATCCAAGGGAGCCTGAACTAGCCTATAAGGAAGAAGAGGAAGGTATACAGACTGTAACATTAAGAACAGCTGTACTTAAAACCTTGTACAGTCAAACCTGTCTATTCCGGACACCTTAGGACCCAATAATACTGTCCTTATTATAAAAGTATCTTTATTTCAGAGGTTCATTAATACACATTTATCAATTGTATTGGGACTGATACTACCTGTCCTCATTATAGAGGCCTCCTTATTTTAGAGTGTCCACAATAGCAGGTTATACTGTAGCTATAGTCACTCTTATAAACGAGGCACATTGAATGATTATAAACATTATAATGTACTCACTGCCCTAAGTATAAAACTCACATTTACATTAAACACAGGCTATAAAAAACACATTAGATGTGTACATTGTACATTATTATTACTCTTTATTGTAACAGCCCATGTACTGTACCTGATATTAAACACAGCATGGCTCCTACTGCTGTCATGATTAAGTTGGGTGTGTGCAACGCGTCTCTTCCTTTGTCCTTGTAGTAAAACTTCAAAGGCTTCTTCGGCCGATTTGACTTCAACTTCGATACAACCACTGACATACATATTGTGTGAAGTGTCCTCTCTTATGTTCCTTGACTGAGGAGGTCTGGAAGGGGAGAGAGAGACAGAGACAGAGACAGAGACAGAGACAGAGAGACAGAGAGACAGAGACAGAGAGAGACAGACAGAGAGGATTAGAGAGTAATAAAATCATATTTTAATTCTCCTGTTACTTTGGATGCAGACTGTCTCCATTCTCCTCCAGTAGGTCGTATATAAAATTATTATAAATCTCAACGTAAGATATAAAAATAGCATAACTCGAGTCCTCGTCAATTCCATCCACTTTCCGTCCATCAGAGACACGCAAGAGGTCCCCATAATCTGGTGTCTCTAACCTAGAGGAAGGAGGAACGTTGTCATGCTTAGAAGGAGAGGGTAAGTGAAGTACTTGGCTCTTGGGCTGATCTTTCTCGGTTTCCTTTGAACAGAAATTAGTTTAGCTTCTTCCTCTGGTATTATTTTATACCCGTTAGTGGCATCTGGCTGAAAAACCTATTCAGAAATAATTAAGTTCTTATTACAATTTATGTGTGCTGTTATGTTAATGGTGCATTAATAAATCAGCATTATAAATGTGTTAAAAAGGTGTTAAATCTATAGTAAAAGCTGTGCTAACAGAGCGTTATAATGGTGCATATAACACGTACATGTTTAGGTGCCTGAACTTCGGTTATTGTGTTAAAGAGTACGTCCATTACACGAGGCAAGATCCCTGGCTGATCCTGCTCACCTGTCATTGTGTATGTTTTACCAGAGTTAGTGACTCCATAGGCAAATAATAATCCTACAGGAGAGAGAGAGAGAGAGGGGGGAAAGAAAGGGAGGGGAGAGAGAGAGGGGGGAAGGATAGAGAGAGAGGTGAGAGAGAGAGGGACAAAGAAGAGGAGAAAAGGGGAGACATTTTCACACTCAAGAACACGTAATTGTCAATATTATTAGTCTTACCATTTCTTCCTAGTACAAGGTTGGAAACGAGTGGATATGCAATATCGTCAAAGACACACTTCTGACTCGTCTTCCCGTCAAATACAAACTTAAAATGATGCTGAGTCTAAAAAACAATCACACTAAAGTAACGACATTAAAAAATGAGCACACAGTACTTAATTTTTTTTACAATTTTAAACTATTACAATTATTTTCTTTAATAACTTTGTTTCTTACAGGATTGAAGTTTCCAGATTTGTAGGCAATGGAGCATTCAGGCGGGGTCAGCTGGAGTATAGATGGAGGCTTGACCTCAGCACAGGACTCGTTCTCGTCTTGTTTGAGTGGCCGGAGTCGACAATATACCTAAAAATAAGTTTCAAAGAAGACACCACGGCCTAATCTTACCTGAACTGGGTCTTTCTCCTTTTGCTTTGGTTTAGGCGTCGACTGATGCTTTCTTGGAGGCTTAGAGGGCTGTCCTGGGTGCTTGCTAGCCATTTTAAAAGATAGATTTTGAATTTGTTCTTCTCTTAGTTCCCTAATGCAATATTGCAATTCTCGCGCTTTATTTGAAAATCAAATCATGGATCACGTGACTCACATACCAACCACGCCCACATCAATAATGAAAAAAATTAAAATTAATAATCGTTTAAATGCAGTGTTAAATACCGTATAGCGGGTATATTTCGTCTGGGAAAATGTTCGTTCTAGAAATTTTCGTTCATTTTATTTTCCTTCTGAGCAGCCATTTTACACACGTGGCATTGAGGAAACACCCTTTTCGTTTGGAAAATGTTCGTTCCACAAGGAATGAGAACGAAAAGAACGAAATTAAACTCAAATGGAGTATACCTGCTATATGGTATGCAGAATACATAAAATAATTACTGATAATAAATAAGTCATCAGTCATTTAATGTCGCTCTCCTTTATCTCCTGCCACCTAAAAAATACATTTTCATTGCAATAAACAATCAAAATAGACTAAAATAATGTACTACAACTACACACAGTATAACCTGCTATTGTGGACACTATAAGGACACCTCTATAATCAGACCAAGATAAGTAGTATCAGTCTCAATGCAATATCAATATGTATTAATGAACCTCTAATACTTCCATAATCAGGACAGTATTATTGGGTCCCAAGGTGTCCGGAATAAACAGGTTTAACTGTGTGCCGTGATGTGATACTCACTCTTTTAAAATCCTTCATATTGGTGGAGTCTAATAAACTACCAAACAGTCCAATGTAATTAATTACTGTTGTTTCTTGATCTCCTTGGTTATTGACAACAAATATCTATGAAATATAAACAATAAAATTATGTATAAAAAATACACTACAGTAGTTGCAGACCGTGAGTTGTTGAACATTTTGGAACTTCAGATACATCAATGGAAGGGGTTTATCATCGGAAATATCTTCCTCTGTTAAACTGAATTTAAAGTTCAAAAAGACAAATCACACAATTTTAAAAAAGACTAAAAAAGCAACTAACTTTAAAGTTTGAACTGGTGTATTGCCCTCAGCAGAATCAAAGTCAAGAGTGTATGTTTGATTAATAAATAGTTTTATTGTTTTTGGTGCCCTACCTGTAGACAAATCATGACATCACATGACACCGTATGACATCATATGACATCACATACCGTCTTTGGGTGCTGTTACTTGTAAGGAACGTAGTTTCACTGGTTGAGTGAATTTCAATGATAAAATCAGCTACAATTTTTAAAAAATAATATAAATAAAGTAATTTGAGGTCCTGCACTACCTGTTCGTCGCAATCACTTTCAAGGTAAATGTCTTTATTTGATTCAAGTGAGTTTTGAAAAGTATTGTCATCAGATTCGTTCAAGCATTCAGAGCCACTGATGTCAATTATACTGTTAATATTAACCTAATAAATAAATAAATAATTTATTATCATTACTAATAAATCCAACCACATCTTTTTAAAATAAGTCAATTTAAAAAAAGCAAAGGCCATGATTTTTTCCCAAAAAATGGCTCCGAAATCACCCCAAATTTTTATTACATTTTCTGATACATATTGATGTCCTTATGCTATGTAGAAAGTTTGAGCCAATTCCAACTAAAATTTTTCTATTTTTAACAGTAGCAATTTTCAGGAAAAAGCAAAAGCTATTATAGCCCATGGTTTTTTTTCCAAAAAATTGCCCCAAAATCTCCCTCAATTTTTCTTATAATATTTGTAACTATAGAACTACTAACAATCAACAAAAATGTATAATGTAACCTACCTGACCACTGACAGGACCAGAGGCAGATGAAGAGTCACTATTTTTAATGTGTTTCAATATACCAGCCTCTATAGCCTTTATATCAGCTCCAACAACCTAATAACAATAATAATAATAATAATAATAATAATAACAACAACAATAATAATGCTTGCATGCATTTTATAATAAATAACAAGGTAAAATAATAGTGTACATAATCAATAAACACAACAATACTAGTAGATAGATTACAATCTTACTTGATCAAGCTTGACACTATTCTTAATGAAGCAGACTGTAGGCATTGATTGAATATTGTATCTGACAGCAACACGCTAATTCAATATGAAACAATAACAATGCACTATAATCTACTTACGGTAGATTTATCAACATCAATTTTAATGAACTTGGCTCTTCCTTTATACTTGATGCTACAACTGTCAAGAAAGGGTTCAATTATCTTGCAAGGATCACACCTATCCAGGAATAATAGTTACGGTCACACCAACCACCTTACCATGTAGCAAAGAAGTCTATGACGACAAGTTGGTCTCCAGATAAAGCTAATTCATTGTGCAGCTCTTTTTCTACTGATATGAGTTTTACTTCACTTGGAGCCGCCATTTTAACAGGCGTGGTTAATAACCAATCGACCACACCTCTCTGCTTAAATTAAATTAATTAAAAACGAATGTTAACATGATTAACAACATCAAAAATAATAAAGGATATAAACACAGTCATTCTTGTCATTCCCTTTGGCTATTCAGATAATGTCGGATTTCTTTGAATTTTATTTGAGCATCAAACCATCAATCACGGAGCTAGACGTTCATGTTGAAATAGGAATCAAATGGTATTCACTCGGGAATCTTTTGGGATGCGAGACTGAGACTTTGGATCAGATTGAGGCGGAACAGGACAAAGATGACAAGCACAAGACCAAAGAGATGTTTCAGTTGTGGCTGACTGGTCCAGTGTCTAGGAAGAAAGTTCTAGAATGCTTGAGAAAAAGATTAATCGGAGAGAATGATGTTGCTGGGCACTATGAATCATACCTTATAAAAGGAAAAGCTTTCAGGGATGGACAGTGAGTAAGATATTGCACTATAAGTCTTCATATTTATTTTTAGATTTGGTACAGCTGCTTAATGAAGCAGCCAATAATATCTTTCAGTCTCATTTTGCAGCGATGATAGAGCTATTAAAGGATCCTGTACGATCATCTCAAGTAATGTACAGTAAGAGAATCATTGGTGAAGCTACACTAGACGTTATGGAGGAACCAGTATCAGATGAGATGACACTTGATGACAAAAAGGAATCTCTGCTAGCTACCATTGAAGAGGATGTGTCTAATAATTACAGGAAACTCAAGGAATTTGGCAAATTTTTGACCTCATCAAACGAATTTAAAGAAATGGGAGAGAAAATACTAAGAGAATATGGTACTTGAATTAATATTTTGATGTGTTTTTATGATAAATGTTCTTTTATTTAGCTCAGTACATATCTGAGAAAGACAAGCAATTGCTGCCGCAGGAAAGCATTGAGAGAATTACAAATATGGCTAGTGAAATTCTGAGGGATAATTATGAAGCTTTGTCCCTTTCAATTGACGAGCCTTTTCAGCTTGCTTCTTTACTAGATCCACAGTTAAATGAGAAAATCCTTGGGAAGGTGGAGTTATACCGAAGCTCTTTAGCTGTTAGCATTGGAATTATCCTGAAAGCTGTTCGAAGTGCTGTTCATGAATCTAGTGAGCATTTAGAGCTATTGGTATCTGCACTGAGAAAATTTGAAAAGACAGTGCCCATTGCTGACACCATATTTAAGGAATACAGTGAGTGTGCAACCATTTTTGCTTTACATTTCACTTAATGCATGAAGGCGGATTTACAATATGACATTAGGCCAGCGTATTGTCAATTTTAAATCAAAAGCGTGGGCAATTTGACCTTTTGACGCATGCTTTCCGCTAGAATAGAACCAAATCCTATTCTAGCGTCAACGTAATGTCAAGCCTATCATAATATTGTAAATCCGCCTTTACATGTTATCTTGTAGTTCGCAGAGATCCCGAACAAGATAGCAAGAAAGAAGTGGATTGCTATAATGAAACTTTGTCATACGGAATGCAGTCTGTAACATCAACAGGATGTGGTGGTATGTGTATGTTATCATGCGCATATGCTTTCAATTTCTACAATGCATCATAAAATTAATTCTTTTTTGTAGGTAGAATATATCTTCCACCTGGAACAAATGAAAAATTCACTAAGATGCGCATTGATTTTGGTGCTACATTTTTTCAAGTTAGACGAGAAATAGAAAAAAAGAAACTAGATCCAGAAGAATTGAAATTGCTACTTCGTGACTGTTTGCCTGATTATAAGTCACAATTCTCCGACAAAAATTTTAAAAGCATTTTCGACATATTAGAGCTAGTAAAAGAGAAGTGTTCACTCGTAAATATTCATTGCTTGAAAACCATAGTAAAAATATTTAAAATAAAAAAAGCTATGGTTATTATCAAAAAATACGAAGAACAAGTTGATGTTTTTTGTGAGGCAATGACTATTGATTTGTGTCTTGATCAAAAATTTGAGGTAGTGCGACGTCCACAGCCACTTTTGTGTGAAAAATTGACCTTTATTCTTAATTGGGAACCACAAGACTACTCCCTAAAAGATGTCATGGATGTACTTACAAAATGCACCAGCGACAGCAGTATTAATGTTCAAATTACATGTATGATTGATACGATTGGGAAGTCCAATAGCATAGCTGTGGACTGCTATATCCCAATGAGTCAGGCAGGGTATGTAGTTGCTATAGTCTTTCAAAAAGTCAAACATGCACAAGTGAAAGCATTGAGTCGCTTAATCTGGAGAAACGTACTAGTATGGGATAAACACACCACTACAAGTGATGAGGTATAGCTTATAACATTCAGTATTTTTGATTGTATAATAGGACATAGACAAAGTTGTCGAGCAAGAAAAAGAACGTGCAAAGCAAATGAAAGATGTCACAGAAGAAGACATTAAAAAAGACATAGAAGAAGGTAATTAAAATTTTATGTTAATGCTGGAAAATGCATAAATTAGTTAACAATGATTATAATGCAATTTTTCTAGAAAAAGCAGGCAAAATTTACATTTATGAAGCTGGAATACAGTTAAATTCACCACTTGCTTGGCAGTGTGAAAATGCTCTGGGCCAGCTGTCTCAAGATCATCATGAGGTTCATCTCTTTTACTCATCTTCCAAGATTGCTCAACTCATCATTATGAATCTACACACAAAGAGATCAGTGACAAAACTGGGCATATATCGTACTCCTATCTCAGACGAATGTGCTACATTCCTGGCTGATGCTCTGGCTGAAAATAAAATCCAAGAGCTACATGAATTGACTTTATTTCTTACTCCAATGAGTGAAAGTTCACTCAATATCATACTCCAATCGCTTCAAGAGAATTCAACATTAAACCATTTCTATATTCGCGACACATCTATATCTAGGTCTGTTAGTAGGAACACTGAAACTTTGTTGGCTGCATTTCTGGAAAAGAACACTACATTAACTAAGGTGTATCTTTATGCAATAACCCTGTCAGAGGACTTTCTTCCAATACTTTTTGACATGGTAGCTAGAAGCAAGGCACACCTAACATTAGATCGTGAAAACAAAGAGGCAGTTGCAACCTTCCCAGGCTATGGAAGTATCATGGACAGAATACACTTTAGCATGTAGTTTTTTATAGCTTTCATATTTGAATTTATGTTTTAGCATGTAGTTTTTATAACTTTCATACTTGAATTTAGAATTAATTTATAGCTCAAGACATAATCAACCACAGCCATCCATCCAATAAACTGATTGAGTGTTGTATGCATGTAATCATGCATTAATGCTGCATCAATGCATTGGGGATTTTTGTGGCCGCGGGGAAAGTCATGCATGTATGCCTTTTAAATATCTGCTGATTGCTGTTATTGAATTGTTTGTGCTTTAGAGAGTAGTTGTTTGTCACTATGTAGAATAACTGAGCTTGAATGAGCCTGAAGTAGCTAATTGTTGTGCACTAATACATCAGCATCAATTTTCAGTTCTCTATTTTCATTCTGATTACTTTGATTAGGTTCATTCTCATGTCTACCCACTTCATTCTCATGTCCACCGTATTCTTGGAATATTTTAATCAAATTCATTACCACGGGGAAAATTAAAACAAGATGGCGTCCACGCATGCGCAGTAAAGGAAAATGAATCAGCAGAGGTTTTGGAAGGATGTGGGCGTGGCCCAAACCAACGCGTGGGTGCAGAGAGAGAAGGATCGGGAAAAAGAGCTCAAGTTTAGTGTAGTCAGGGAGAGAACGAGGGAGAGGAAAGACAAGAAATGGCATTAAAAAGAATTAATAAGGTCTGTTATTCTCTGTCGATGCCTTCTATGTAACGTTTATACCTCTTTGTATGACTTGGGGAGAATTTTGATCCGATTCCATTGACCATATTTAACTTGTATACATATATTACGTACTGTATTTCTTTTCCCTGTCACATTATCTTCTGTGGGCTAAGGGCCAATTTGAAATAGTTTTTGTGGGGAAGCTCATGAAGTATAGGCGATTGTGAAAGTGGTTTGGGTGATAATTTGTCACCGAAAACAGTGATACCTTACTATGAACATTGCTATATCCAGCACAAATGATACTTTTCTTCATGTTACATGTACCGATCTACCTATAAGTAGCCCCTCATCCGCAAACGACCGTTTTAGCACACTAAATTGTGTTAAAGAGGAATGGGTGTGGTTTGTAATGGAGGACCGGAGGCGGGGCCACGGCTCTCTTGTATTAGGTATATTGTAGTATAAGCATGTACATATACTTGTGTATGTTGTGTGTTTGTGTGTGTTTCTTTTCTCAATTGATTTGTTAAGTGTTGGCAGGATGTCCCTTGACATTCTTCTAGTTATATTATGTTGAAAGTGGTCATCAGTTATTGTGTAAACATTGTCATCTGCAGGCAGTGTATTGCTCTCTTTGTCTAAACAGCATCTTTCCTTTTTGTTTTATCGCACACTTTTCTCTCTTCCTCCCTCCCCCCTCCCCCTCTCTCTCTCTCATTTTTAGGAATTACAAGATTTAGGTCGCGATCCACCAGCCCAATGTTCTGCTGGTCCTGTTGGGGATGATTGTAAGTCTACCATTTTCTGATCTCTTCCTTCCTCTCCTTTTTTGCACTTTTATTTCACTCTATGTACATGTACATGTACATACGTGTATATGTACATGTACATGTATAATCCATGTGTTCATGCTACTTTGGCTCATTTTTGAAGTCAAGAGATAATTGTCTGCCTTTTGTCAAGCGTTGATTACTAATTATATCTGTACATTAGCTATTAGTATTTATTACTATAGTTATTAGTATTTTTTGTGTTATTTTTTTGCAGTGTTTCACTGGCAAGCAACTATAATGGGCCCTGTGAGTTTGTTCTCTCTCTCTCTCTCTCCTCTCTCTTTCTCTCTATTTTTACTCTTATATTTACTATTCTTCCCTTGTGTGTTCACCTCTTATTTCCTTTATTTTTAAATTCATTTCACTCATTTTTGTTTCATTTCCTTCTTCTCTCTCTCTCCTCCATTATAGCCTGATAGTCCATATCAAGGTGGAGTGTTCTTTTTAACGATACACTTTCCTACAGACTATCCTTTCAAACCACCAAAGGTTAATGAAATAACCACACCTCTACTACTGTACATGTACATATAATGTCTGCACTATTTTTAGTGTTATTATTATGGTCAGAAAATTTAGTGGAAATTTCATGTTAAATACACATTTCAAGCATTTTTGATTGATTTGATACTACATCTAACTAAAGTTGATCCAAATTATGTATTTGCTCTGCTCTCATAATAGAGAAGCTATGTATGCATGCGTGTGTGTTTAACCTTTCCGGCTAATGTAATGTATTTATTTATTTATTTGTTTGCTTTGTTATTGTAGATATCATTCACAACCAAGATATATCATCCCAACATTAACAGTAACGGTAGTATCTGTTTGGATATACTAAGATCACAATGGAGCCCAGCATTAACTATTTCTAAAGGTTCCTATTCACAATTATTAAATTTTATTATTCTTTTTTGTTTCTCTCCCTCTCTCTCTCTTTCTTTTCCTCTTTCACTTCCTCTTTTTTCCTTCTTCTCTCTCTCACTGTCTCTTCCTTTCTATTTCTCTTCCTAGTTCTTTTATCTATATGTAGTCTTCTTTGTGATCCTAATCCTGATGATCCCTTGGTACCTGACATAGCTCGTATTTACAAAACTGATCGCCCAAAGTACTCACAAACAGCTTCAGAGTGGACGAAGAAGTATGCCATGTGACAACTGCATCTTTTAAAGAAGAGATATTGCTTCTTTCTTCTTAATGTGTCTCTCCCTATCGTGTAACTCTGACTGTTATATACTAATTATTATTATTATTATTATTAATTATTATTATTATTATTATTATGCACGCATGACTTTATCTCTAAGCAGTTTTATGAGTAGCAGAGTTAAAAAAAAAGAAAAATAATAGAATGTTATTTTTGAATAAAAATTGTATGTATTTAAAACTGTTTTCAGTATTAAAATTTTAATTAAAGTAAAATGAGTAGAAATCAGTCTCAAAATTGTACCTCGATCTTGCAGCTATCCCCAGTGGCTCAGTCGGTTAGCGCGTCGTACTTATAAACAGTATTGAGTAATGCGAAGGTCGGGAGTTCGATCCTCCCCTGGGGAAGGTATTTTTTTTCTTTTTTTTTTTCAAATTCATTGCTTGTGCACGTGATCTAGTGCGCATGCGTAGTAGGTCTCTGAGCCAACGAGAAAGATAGGATAAGGTAGTGTCATCTCCCTTAGGGTCAGTGTTAGGAAAAAAGGTGAGACTCCTCTATTTTTATCGTCTATGCCTAGTCTAAACTTTTGAAGTGTTTTTGAGCCTTTGTATGCCTTGTTTGCGTTTGCTTAAGCCTTTTGCTAGTGTTACAAAATGAATTTATAATTTGAGTTTTTGCTCCTACATAAGGTCCTATGTTAACGTATTATCGTAGCCTTTCCCTGTAAAATGAGGTTGTTGTTTCATAGCTAGATTACTGACATGCACAGGGTTATACAAATTAACATTGCCTTTATTGAGTGGTGTGGACAATATGTGAACAACTCCTATTATAATCCTCTTTTATGTAACTGTTTGTCTTTTCTCTCTATTTGCCTCCTTTTTTCCCTTCCCAGTTATAATAAAATGGCTGACGTCCCACCAGTTTTTGCAGATCTAGGAAAGGCTGCCCGTGATGTTTTTAACAAAGGATTTGGTGAGTACATCTACATAATGACAACTCATATAAGGAGAGGCTTATGAATCAGCTTGTGTGACATAAGGTTGCTTGGTAGCCTTTTAGATGTGGTTTTACATGTACATATACTTGCATGATATGGAGTAGGGAAGGAGGAACATAGGATTATATGGGATAATCTTGTACTTACTTATTGATGTTTTCTTTTGGTATGTTATTGCAGATTATCCAAAGATCAAACTCTCCTTGAAGACCAAGACAGAATCTGGTGTTGTAAGTAATTATACACGTACATGTACATCAATACATTGTGCTCTTTATATGTATCCACCTACCATTCAGAGTACATGTACATGTACATGCTATTCTTCATTATTGGCTTTATATTCTTGTCCTTTCTACACGTCGTAACATATTGTGGCATTGTGTCTTCTCATTATTGACATTATATTTTATTATTCTTTGTATTATGCACATACTGATTATGCTTTTATAATTTTGAGTGAATTAATGCTATATTGGATTGTACTGTACCTACTTGTACAATGTACATGCATGAAATCTATATTTATTCTATTACTTAACTTGTTTTATCATTATGTTTCTCCTCCTCAGGAATTTGACACTAATGGCTCACATGACCTTGATAAGGGGAGGACATCTGGCTGCATGAAGACAAAGCTTAAATTCCCTGAGCAAGGTAAAAACCATCCTTTCTTTCTTAATCACTTCTGCTGTTATGTACTGCTTTCCTTTCTCTTTTGATCTTATACTTTTCATATCTCTGTCTTTATTATTATTGAAATACAAGTGCTATTGTATGGGACCTGTATACTGTAGTACCGTACAGTGGGAAATTTTTGAGGGAATTAAATTTGGCGAATTGATGTTTTGATAGCAATTCACCAAAATAAAATCCGCCATTTTGAGCCATTATACACACGCTCAATGCCATGTGGCCACAAATTCACCAAATTAAAAACGACCAATCACCTAAAATTTAGCAATTTGCCAAATTTTACTCTCTCCAAAATTTCCTGCTATACAGTATGTACAAGTATATATACTTTGTATGTATATATAATATATTGTTCTTTATTACATAATAAGGTGTTACGTTTACGGAGAGCTGGAGCACAGGTGCTGACCTAAACACTGAACTAACCTATGAACCAAGCAAAGTGGAGGGACTCCAACTTAGCCTGGAAGGATCCTGGTCACCAAACAATGGGTAATAACAATAATAATAATAATAATAATAATAATAATAATAATCATGTGATATGCATTAATTTTACATTGTCTTTGCTTGTTCTTCTTTTAGGCAAAGAGCTGTCACATTTGGTACAGAGTACAAGCGTCAGTATTTCTCATTTGATGGCAACTTTACTCTACAACAAGTGACTGGACCAGCTCTACAGGGAGCAGCTGTATTCCTGTAAGTATTGGGAATTAAGGGGTATGGGTATGAAACTAATGGTATGAAATTATGGGTATTGGAGTAGAAGCTTTCCTGGTATGGGATTATGGGTATCAGGGGCATGGTATGGGTATTAGTTTAGAATTAATATGGGTATCAGGTTAGAATTGGTATGGGTATCAGTTTAGAATTGGTATGAGTTTGACATTATGGAGGAGAAGCATGGGTATTTAAATAACTTAGACCTTTCATTATGTTTTTGTGTTATGCTGTATAGTTACAAGGGCTGGTATGCTGGATATCAGGCTGGGTATGAGATCAATTCTGCTAAGATGACAGCCAACAACATTTCACTAGGGTACAGGGGGAACGGATATACAGTTCACTCTTCTTGGTAAGTACTTGATACTCTTGTACCTGCTAGAATCTCTTTACTTTATTATGTATTCGGAAATTTTTATGCATGTTCATGTACAATTTTATTGGTTGATGGAGCTTGTAATGACATGTGGTATTGTCCATTTGTAGTGTTTAGCATTTTTCCAATTCAAACTGCCGATATTAAACCACCAATCATTAGCAAGAGTATAATTAAAGATTATACCTACTGCATTTTTATGTAACAACAATTAAATCAGCAATATAAACTGCTGCCAAATTAAAGTAATATACCAATAGTTTTATTTACTACCAACACTGAGTTTTAATGCTTCTTTAAGAGTCTATGGAAGCCTATTACTTATACTCTGTCTGCTAGTAATTGTAATTGCACTTATAGAATTTAATTATACTTCAATTTATTTATTTTTTCTTTTTAGCACAAACCTTGCTGACTGCATGGCTTCAGTTCACCATAAAGTAAGTCATTATTATGAAAATTATTATAGAAAATTAATTTTTAAATTACTCATAAATCGGATCAAAATCCATGTACTATAGTACATGGTCTTGGGCCAAATTTCATCAAAATGGACAAAAAGATCATTTTTGCATTTTAATGCTTTTTTGGATGAAATTTTGAACTGATTCTAATTAAAAATTGGATGAAATTTTGAGATTTGAAAAATGATGATGTGCATGTACCGTATATTCTTTCCTTTAGATAAGTGATAAGACTGAGGTTGGTTTAATGACAACATACAACGTCCAATCCAGCAACCCTGGTCTTGCCGTTGGTACTAAGACTGTCCTTGATGGCGGAGCTGTTGTTAAGGTACATGCAACTGTCTTTTTATATGTATACATGTACATATACATTTACTTGTTTTTGAAAAGCCACTTATATAATTGATTGTGGGTGGGTCTGTAATTTCTTGGCTTTGGTGAATTTAAATGGACTTTGCCTAGCCTAAAGTTTAAGATCTTTCTTCATTTATAGTGTTACTTTTCCCTTTTCTTTTGGTAGGCTAAAGTGAATCAGACCGGTCAGATTGGTCTTGGGTATTCTGAGAATCTTCGTGACGGCGTCAAGCTAAGCCTCTCATCTCTCATTGAAGCACGCAACATCTCCACCGGTGGGCACAAATTAGGAGTCTCTATAGAGTTTGAGTCCTAAAGTGCCGAGTTTACTAGTATTAGTGCAAGACTTATTCTAGAACTTGAACTTTAAAATATTTGATAATAATATTAATAATAATTATTTAGTTTATTATTCTTGCCATGACTTTATTTAGGCCCCCGAACTCTGTTGTGTACTATTTTTGTTGTTGTTTTTTGTTTATTTAATAATAATTATTATTCTAGTGTACCTGTATGGCCAACATCCGACTCAATGATTTGTGAGACATTGTGTACTAGTTTTGATTTTTACTGAAAGTTAAAGCATTGATCTATGATTAAAGTGGCTCTTTATTTTTTTGCAAATAGGTCAGAAATAGATTGAGTAAGCTAGCTTTAATATGTGGCCACTGGCTAGAAATAGAAACTTTAACGATATTTTTTTTTAATGAGAATTTCAATCATTTTGTCCATTTCTGTATGCTTTTTTAAATCTAAAAATGAAATGAAATACAATAGTAACATCCACAATAGCCAAAATAATTGTATCATAGTCCGATACCTTCTTTCTGCTTGACCTGTTGTATGTTTTATTGTTTTGCTACAGATTGCATTGAGTCGTTAGAAACAGACTCTAAATCTTGTGCCTGTGGATGCATTGAAGCTGATGGAGGTGGATAGTAAGGTTCTTGGAAACGATGAGTGTATCTTTCTTCTGTTCTCCCTCGGAACTCTTTTAACTAAAGGAATTAATGGGTAGTATAGTCAAGGGAGAATGAAACATAGATATCATAATGATGTAGAATTATTATTGCAGCAAATGAAGTCAATAGATGTATTATGAGTGCATACTATAATCTGGTTCCCAGTCTTCAGTAATGAGTAATCAGCATTGCCTGGTACACCCCAACCAACTTCACCTACACGCAGTGACTTTGGAGGTGGATGTGGCGTATCCTACACAGAATGCAATGATAAGATATATAGTAGGACTAAGAAGACTCACTGTGGATGCACGACAGAGATACGTTGTATTACTAGTTGCTTCTGATGACATAGCTCCATGCCCGACATAAAAATGATCTTGAACGTTCACTTTGTAGTCTCCTATGCCATCTGGACCTGCAGTAGACGAAAGACTCAATAATGCAAGGGAGTTCTAGTGACCTGTAAATAGCACTGCTCCTTTAGCTTTAGGCTTCTCGTCCGGCAACTCTACACTACTAACAACTGTTCCTGTCTCGCTCGAGCTCATCTTGTTGCTCGGTTGCCATGGTAGCTTACAATTTGGCAGGAAATTTTAGTGCGCATGCGTAAAATCACGTGGTAAAAAAATGAAAACTTGATAAATTTAATAACTTGGTTCGTCAGGGATGTTAAAAAATCAAAGCAAAATAATAAAATCTTAAAAGTACTTGGTCAGTCTGAAATTAATCACTGTCACTATCACTGCTGCTGCTGCTGCTAGCACCTTCTGCACCTTCTTGAACTGTAAATTTCAGTTTAACACTTTGAACAGAACCTGTAATAATTACAATTACCACTGTTTGCATGGCTGCATATTCTCATAGTTAACGTACCTTCAGAACTTTGTGATTTATTATCGTCGTCATCTTTATCATCATCACCACCAGTACTGCCTCCAGTCCCTCCACCGCGGGACATTGAATGTGGATTCATTACTACAGTCATGGTATGCTCATTCTCTTTTAAAGGTAGCCGATCCGCTTCATCATCATTAAGTGTCTGGCGACTATGTCTCTTCATCTTTCTGCTGCTCAGTCATGATACAACAAAATAATTAAAGTAATTATTTTTATTGTGCTTACCACAAGCAGCATAGTATGAGTATCAGTAATGCCACCAGTACTATTATCAGGAGTAGCCCCACTATACTTCCAACTATAATGCCAACCAATTCTAAAGTATTCAGTCCCTCTTCATCATCAATTGGAGATGGGCTTGGACTTGCAGCTGCAACTACTGCAACTTCAATAAGGAATGAGAACAGCAACATTGCGGCTACCTATTATCAAGAATAACCACAAGAATGTTATATGCAGTACGGTGTGGGCTATAGTGTTACATGCTACAGTAATTGTGTTGTAATTTGTGGCTTAGATCATGCATGGTTTCTGCACATACTATGACTGTATGGCTTGATTCCAATAAACAGCTTTAGGCTTTGTACTTTGTTTAGACTATAGTGTAAATTGCTGCAAGTCAAAGTGTCCATACACACAGTAATAAACAATAGATTAATCATAGCAATCATGTGTACTTTTATGAGAGAGAAGAAAAAAAATCACCACTAAGTATATGCGGTATGCCCGCATGGACACTGGCACTAACTTGATCATTGCTTCATCATAGTCAGCAAAGTACCAGTGGATGGTCTTAATTCAAAATTGAAGAGCATCAAGAAGATTATTATGGTCAAAGAAAAAGCAATTTGCAGCTGAGTAGCTGAGTATTAAAACTGTAAGATCCACATAGATAGATCTCAATAGGTTTTCCATACATAACATTTATGATTTTTCACACCTTATTTAAAATCAGTAGCTATCTACTAGTGTACTCTATACATGTAGATATTGCCTTTATGACTTACCATTATGCGACTGTTCTTGATATTGTCAGATTATTACTTGTAGCAAAAGGACTGCTCTCTTCCTTGTTACTTCTCACCTCATTTGGTATTCATTGTTTAATAATCATTGATTCTCATGAATAATAATGAATTTATCACAAATTGAGGAAGCTCTAAAAAATTTTTATCAGCTCAAAAATTTTAAAACTACTCGGATTTTTGAGCGACTATAAAAATTCATAAAAATCCGATTTTGAATTTTTGATCAAAGTTTCTATTAAACAACAGGAATTGTCAATAAAAATTCCTCCCATAGCCATGCTTTTTGCTTTATATAATAGCCTTTGGACTAAGATTAATTTTGCTTAAAAATAAATATCTATAAAAATAATAAATTAAACTAAATCTCTGACAGTAGACACAGACTAGTACATGCATGCATGAATGGCAAAATATTTACGATTATTATCTATTAATTAAATAAAACTGTCATCAGAGATGGGTCTCTTCGGACATCTCAAGCATTTCCTTCTCCAAGCCACCAGCAGCCTGGCTGACTCTTTTCTTCTCCTTTTGCCCTTTATCAGATCCTTCTGCATCATTATCATCATCTTCATCTTCACTGCTCTCAGATTCTTGAGCAAATTTTAACTCCATATTCTGAACTGAACCTAATAAATGGTAATTTTATAAAAAATATAATAATAATAATTTTTCATATCGTTATATGCTTTGAAGGTCTCATTCATACTCTCAAATCCCCATACCCATACATTCAAACTCTCATACTTTTACTCTCAAACCTCATACCTTCATCAGGGCTAGGAGGTCTAGGTTCATAGTACACGTTTTGAACAGTGAACTCATCATCTTGGGCTGTAGTAGGGATCCCTTTCTCGACAAAAGCATAACGACTAGTTCCTCTAAGCCTCTTACTAAAATATGCATAATATCATGAAAATAATGCAAAATAAACGGAAATGACACTTACCATATGCAGTAGATGATTATGACAAGTATTATTATGAGAAGGAGTGCTCCAATCACTGATCCTATTACTATTCCTGCTATTTCTCCAGCAGAAAGTCCCTCATCATCAGTAGGGCTGGTTGTAGGTGTAGGAGTCATTGATGGATTTAGTACTTCAATGCTCTCTATTGGTAAACCAGCAGCAGTATATCTTGAACTAGATGCCTAATAATAATAATAATGAATTATAATAATGTTAAATAATAATAATAATAATATTAAATAATAATAATAATAATAATGCAATGATTGTATTTAGGGAACTTAAGTGAATTGCTAAAATTGAAAATGCAAATGCAAAATTGCAAATCATGCTTGGGTCTATTTTAATTTCAGTATTACAGAAATCGAAGCTGTGATAAAAATTTGGAGTGATTTTCGAGCCATTTTTTGGAAAAAAACTATTACTTTTAAAATCTCCTTATAACTTAAAAAATACTTGTGAGAATCAGCTCAAACTTGCTAAACAGCATAAGGACATTATTTTGTATCGGAAAATTTAATAAAAATGGTGATGATTTTTGGGCCATTTTTTGGACAAAAAACCATGGGCTATAGCCTTAAAAATTTTTCAGAATTTTGGCATTTTTTTAAATGGCCCTAACTTGAAAAATTAAAGCCGGAATCAGCTCAAACTTTCTACACAGCATCAGGTCATCAATATGTATCAGAAAATGTAATAAAAAATTGGGGTGCTTTCGGAGCCATTTTTTGAAACAACCATGTGCTATAATAGCCTTGGGTAATTTTCAGAATTTTGGCTTTTTCTTAAAATGGCCATAACTTAAAAAATTGAAGTCGAAATCAACTGAAACTTTCTACACAGCATAAAGACATCAATATGGATCAGAAAATGTAATAAAAATTTGGGGTGTTTTTGGAGCCATTTTTTGGAAAAAACTATGGGTTATAGTACAGGGTATTTTTAGAATTTTGGCATTTTCTTAAAATGGCCATAATTCAAAAAATTGAAGTCAGAATCAGCTCAAACTTGCTACACAGCATAAGGACATCAATGTGTATTTTAAAATGTAATAAAATTGGGAGTGATTTTGGGGCCATTTTTTGAAAAAAAAACTATGGGTTTTGCTTTTTTTTTTTTAATTCACTACTTCTTGAAATGGCCATAACTTAAAAATTTCAGTCAAAATTTGCTCAAAATCTTTATATCGGGACACCAAAATGCATTAGAAATTATTTTTAAATTTGGGTATGTGTCATTATAAAGCAATTTTTAACTGAGGATGGACTTTTTGATCAAAAGCAGGATAACTTTATCATCAGCCAATTTTGTGCATTAAACACTACACATGCAGTGTTAGGGTGTATTATTTATGCTAATTGTACTGACCTCAATAGCTGCTCGTACTGAGTAAGCATCAATAGGCACTCCAGATCGACCTCTTACATAAAAGGTCACTCTTAGTCCAGAGGTTGTTTCAGTAATATCAACAATGATAATATCCTCAGGTCTGACCATTGTTCCAGTTTGTCTAATGAACAAATGATAATTAACTTGTTATATCATTCAGTTTCTATTATTTTGTACCTTTTTCGTGATGATGTTGCATTATTGCACTCATTACCAGAGCAATAGTTGTTCATGGCCTCTGCTGTTAAATTTTTGAACAAATCTTCATTAAACTATTTTTAAAATTAAATTATAATAATCAATTCAAG